CGTCGCAGTTATTCGATTGCAAGTGTTGCAACCATGTGCTCCCCAAGTGCTGAAATAGAGGGCAACTACGATGGGCATGGATGAAGCTCCAATCGGCAGACCCACATGGGCAGGGATGATCCAAGTTGCGATGGCGCGGAAGACGGCCATCCAGGACGGGATGCTGACCGCACCTAGCTAGTGTCCATTCCCGCACCACCGAGCATGGCAGGCGTGGAAATCCAAACCGGGATGACATTGAACAAAAGTGGCGAGAGAGGCTGATTGTGATGCCTCAGCCCGGTGCAAGCACAAGCCAACTCCATCAAGGACTGGGCGCACGCAACGGTGTCTCCAGCGTGGAGACGTCACCACCTAGGCCTAAACCGAATTCATCGGGCGAGGTCACATTGGCAGACATTCTGGCGCGAGAAATGCGAGCTTCAAAAGGGAATTCTGGATGCCAATAGCATAGCAAAAAACATGCGCAGCAAGGCCATGATGCACACCAGGGGGGGTGGCCGAGCAAAGGCGTCCAAATAAACTTGCTTGCACATGCAAGACTTGCACTGCGAACGGGTCCCAACCAAGTTCACCTAGAACGTCTGCACCGGGTGAGTGTGAGAAGGCGTCGCCCTAACTGGCGCACATGCTTATCTACGCGCCGCACAGATGCATCTTTTAAAAAAAAATTGCACCACGCGTCAGTGAAGGCAGCACGTAAGAATGAAACAAGCTTCGGCGAAAGCTTGGGTGCAGCCCACGGCTTTCCGCCCAGGCGCCAGCGAGCTCCCCAAGCTCCAATTGCATCAAGCGCACACTGCAGGTCGGCCTCCGCTTCAGCCAACACTACCAGGTCATCTGCGTATGAAAGCAGAGTTACCCGCGGTGCACCAGGGTCACGACCTAAGCGGACACCTCGGCAAGCTGCACGAACGGCGGCAGAGATGCCATCAAAAAGGATATTGAACAAGAGGGGGCCAAGGACACTGCCTTGGCGGACACCGGCCCGTTCATTCCAAGGTTCAGACAGAGCACCATTGACCCGTACTCTCGCGCGCGTGGCGCCGAGATGCGCCGAGGAGGTCATCCAGAACCCGCCACGTGGAACCTGCAACACCTGCAGCTGCAAGTTTACGAAGGACAGCAGTCCTCCATGCCACATCGAAGGCTTTACGCACATCAGCGAAGGCACAGAAGGTGCGTTTGCGGGCACGAAGGCGCAATGTGTCAACGAGGGTATATATCTGTTCCTCAGCACCCCGTCTGAAGCCAGCTTGACTCTCATCAAGGCGGGGCTTCACATGCGGGAGAAGTCGCCTGAGGAGCAATGTTCAGCTACTTTTAACCCGCAGCAGAGCAGACTCATGGGTCTGTACTTTGTGAACTCATCCTCAGCACCTGTTTTGACTTTCCGTTTTCTGAACCTGAATTCCTTCATGTTTTGCAGCAATTGCCTTCAATTCGCGCTCCCGGCCCGGATGGCTTGACCTATGAACTGTATCGTGTTGATGATGACACCTTGCGCCGTGCGCTCTTATCGTTTTTGGAGTTTGTGCGTTACTGGGCTGTGGTGCCGTCTGTATGGCGTTCTGCTGTTGTGACGCCTTTGCACGAAACGCCTAGCTGTGGTCGACATGACACCACGCAGGCTCTTCAAGGTCAGGCGAAGTTGCGGAAACAGAACCCGCGGAGGCAGGCACGTCTCGAGAATGACAGCGCCACGAGGATGAGTCATGCTGGCAGGCACCGGACGGCGAGAAGGCCCAAACAGCCGTCGGATGTTACGGGCTGCAAGCTTTGGGCATGTGGATGGAACATTGTGCCTTCACGGCACCATGAGCGCCAAGCAGCATTTCTGCACACCATCATATCATAGCACTCATCGTCCCACCAGTCTGGTTGGGGCCGGCGGCGGGGTGCCCGAGTGGCTTGCGGACGTGCTGCATCCCAGAACATATGGACAAACTCGCCATGCACGACATCGAGCATTGCACGACTAGTCTCAGACGAATGAGTGCCGGCATCGAAGCGTAATTGCGACAACTTAGCTGTCCACGCTAAAAGGCGAGGCCGCAAGGCCTGCACAATGGGCAGCTAGTTGCGGACACGAGGCCAGCGGGGAAATGCGGTCACGTCGGAAACGTTGGGCGACAAAGCAACTTGAAATGTGATGAGCTTAGGATCACTACATAAAACCGGGCAGCGAAGGTCAGGCGGACAGGCGCAGGAGCTACCGTCATGCACAACAATGTTACTCATGATCAAGTCCCGAGATGCCAGCACTAGGTCAATGGCAGACCCGGACCGATGTGTGGGAACATCGAAAAGGTTTTAAATCCCAAGGCCGAAATCTCGGCACAAACCGCGAATCATCCCATGCAGTTGTGATTCCCCGCGCCTTTCACGATTGGGGCCCCTAATTTCAGACAAGCATACATTCGAATCACCAGCCAAAATTAAGCTTGCATGTGGGTGGGATTGGAGCACTTTTTGAATGGAAGCTCGCAACTGGGTCCAGAAATTGACACGCTCAAGCAAACACATGCCGACATGCGGTGCGTAGAAACTGCAAATCAAAATGGGGCTATTGTCAACTCCGCCCGAAGCAACACATCTCCAACGAAAGCGAATGATACTAACATCACGAGGCGGAACGGGCCATGAAGTGTCCCCGCAATGCACCAGAAATCCAGCCTCGCAGCCTCCCCATCCTTTGGGCCCATCATAAGAAAACGGCTGCTCCTGTAAGAAGACGTGATAAGACCCTGCTGCCCTCTCCCTCGAAGGCATTTTCAAGACTTTGTTTTGGCAGCCAGGCTAGAATGCCCCCCTTACCGCAGAAGGCATGATAGCGCTACAGTTGTTTTGTTGGCAAACCCTTAAGCTTCTAGCAGCCTCCATTGGCAAACCCTTAAGCTCGAATTCTTAAGGACGGACCATGCAACCTTTGGGCACCTCCGCAAAGCCTTTCTGGATCCCAGCATATGTGGGCAATGAATGGAAAAGTTGACACTTGGCTTCTGTACCCGCTCCCTGTGACTTGTAGGTACAGGCCTGTTGGTACTCCTCGGCCCGACCCTTCAATGCCTTTCCTTCCGCTTTAAGGAAGCTGCAAGCCAGCAAAGTCGATTTACAGATCTGCACCTGTAAAAAGACGTGATAAGACCCGACTGCCCTCTCCCTCGAAGGCATTTTCAAGATTTTTGCCCCCCTTACCGCAGAAGGCATGGTAGCGCTACCGTTTTTCTGTTGGCAAACACTTAAGCTTCTGGCAGCCTCCATTGGCAAACCCTTAAGCTCGAATGCTTAAGGAGGGACCATGCAACCTGTGGGCACCTCCGCAAAGCCTATCTAGATCCCAGCATATGTGGGCAGTGACTGGAAAAGTTGACACTTGGCTTCTTTACCATTTCCCTGTGGCTTGTAGGTACGGGCCTGTTAGTTCGCCGCGCCGTGGCCAGCCGTAGTCATGTCACACTGTAGACTTTTTCGAGTCATGGTAACCGTTTATATTTACAACTGGGCAGGTCATCGAGGGACACGGCAGCGGGGAGGTGTATGAGGACAACAATTGCAGAAGAGGGTGCTTTGGCCACGTACCAAATGACACCAAACCAAGTCCTTTGCACCCAGAAAATACCATCCGGACGCTGGATCCTCATATCTTGCCCCAGATTTGCCATCTAAGTAGCCCTAAGCCCTCGGGAGACATCCTCTGTCCATGGTTCCTTCAGGGATTCTGGAGGCCTGGGGGGCCGAGGCAGGGGCCCCCAAGCTGCGGGGTGCTGGCTTTGATGGATCTGCCGGAACGTCCTTGCAGCTGCATAGAGAGCGCCTGAGCAATGATTGGGGTTCAGGGCAAAGGGACGACCCCGAAACCTTGAGAAAGCCAAGCCTGCAATAGGTAACAACCTTGGGCTGTGATAGGCGTGTGCTGCACAGGCAGGAGCCATCACTCCGCCCAGGCTGCAGATGGACAGCTTGTGTCAATGAGACGAGCTCCCGTATTTGCACAAGCTCCGTCGTCCTATCGTTTCCGCGCTGCGTCCCTGCTTCCCATGCCACGCAGAGGCAGCAGGCTGGAGCTAGCCTATTGATGGGACAAGCGCTCGCATTTGCAGAGCCCGGAAATGCACGTCGTAAACACGTGGTCGCGCTGTCTCACTGTCAAAGGACTATCAGGGTGTGCTAGCGAGCTGGGACATCGCTTTCTTGTGACGAGAAGCACAGGCTTAAGACGGTGCCGCAAGGGCAAGATCAAAGCCAAAAGAAGTCTTCCGCCCATTCCGCAGAGAGAGGGTTTCCCAAAGATGCAGGGCCATCCACGGCACACGGCCGGAGCTCATTGGCAGACAAAAAGGAGCTGGAGACTTCTCGGGCTGCTTACAAAGTGTCAGCCATCCTTTCTGGTCAAAGAGCAGAGACAACAAAGCAAGCGAAAGCTTAGCTTGTTTGTTTCTTCTAAGAGGCTCAAGGCTGTGTCAGGTACGAGGCTCTAGCCAGGTTGTCCAGTGTCGCCGTTTGTTTCGCTTCGTGCTGACGTCGCGTTTTCTTGCCTCACACTTTGATTCTCTGTGTTGATTTAAAGGTTACCCGTTGTGGCCGTGGGGCTCCGGCAACATGGGCGGCCGAAGATGGTAGAGATGCTCACAGGAGCGTGTGTTCTTTCCAAGTCGTTTGCGAATTGATCGCACGGACCTTATTTGGAAGCAGCTAGTGTGAGGGTCAGAGCACGGGAAATTGCAAAGCTCAGCGTTGTGTTGTTGGGTTGCTGTGAGGTCGGGCGTTTGCAGTGCCCACTTCATACTGTCGATGATGTTCACATCAGGCAGATGGTTGGGGTTGCGACCGGATTGCTTGGGGGCTGGCCAGGTTTGCCAGACTCAAGCTTGCAGCTAGATATGCTTCCGATTGAGCAACCCGATGTGAGAAATTTGGAAACAAGAAGTGCAGTTCAATGACAGAATCTGGGGTTCAGATGAGTTGGCAAAGGGCGGAAGGATCACTGCCGCGTGAGCATGCTTGCAGGTCTCCTTTTCTTGGTATGCCATCCCATTGGCATGACAGCCTATCGTCAGCAGTTGCCGAGTGTGGTTGTGCTTCCAGAGTGCCGAGCCCAGAATAGCCGATTGATTCAATCTTCTGTTGTCGCATGGCCGTGTTGCAAAGGACCGAGACACCCGCAGCAGCCCGATTGATCAGCGGGCAGAGGGCCTGGAGGGTAGAGCGCCTTAGTTTGTGCATGAAGGAATGGTGTGACTGCATGCTTCTCCCAGGCCTTGTGATTCTGATGTTGAAGATTGGCTTCCCAACGTAGAGCAGCTTCAGAAGGAGCCTCAGGCCGGATTCGGACTGTCCATGATCGGATGTGCTGACGCTCCAGGTCAGCTCTGTTTGCAAACGTGCCGGCCTTGGCTTGGTCTGAGTCGGATGTTGACATGTTCCACTATACGATATTCTTGTTATCAGGAAAAGTTCTTGCAACAGAATCGTGGTTTCTTGCTGATTGGCTCGAGCTGGTAGCATGTGTTTGTGGAAAGAGGCCAGAGCTGGAGCAGGAGTGCAAGTGGGTAGGTGTCAAAATTAGGGTCGCTTTTTGGGTCCCTTATACAATACGGCACTTAATATTTAGGGCACCCAAAAAGGGACCTTAATTTTGACAACCACCCATGTGAGTGTTTGGTGCACTCTTTTTCGGGCAGATCCCCAAGTTTTTCCCTTTGAAATGTTGCATATGCCCTTTTTTTTTGCACTTCCGCTTCGATCCTTATCGCACCTGATGCAGCGGCCTTTAGGTTGCGGGGTTAAGGATGTGATGCCGTGCCTACGGGCTTCGCCAGGAGCTCATGCCAGCAGTGGATGATGGCTTAGGCCCTGGCTCCTTCGAAGATGGTGCCGAGCTGGCCAGGAGCTGGAAGCGTTTAGGGGCTTAGGGTTTAGGGTAGCTGTGGGATTTATTGTCGAAGTCTTCGTCTGTGGGGCATGTTGAGCAGAGGGCTACCGCAGCCCAAGCTGGAAATTTTTCCGCCGAGCCAGCCAAGACCGTTTGAAGGTGGTTTCTGGGGCTTTGGACCTCCGGCTTTGGAGGGCTTTTGGGGGCTTGCAGTTTCCTCCACAAGTTCCGCAGTCTCAAGCATACAGGCCTAGACGAATCACCCACTCGCTGTACAGGACGTCCATCCCAGAGACAGCCACAACAGTGCTCTTGGGCGAGTGCACGCATGGAACGGAGGAGTTTTATCAGATCCGGGCTGAGTGCCTCTGTCTGGCAGGCTTAGAGATATGCGTGGCAGTGATGAAGAGTTGAGGAAAGCTTGAATCGGTTAAGTTGATCCCAACCATCCAATGTGGGAGTTTGAAGAGTGAGTGGCAGTCGCACTGCTCTTGATCGTGATCCGAGGATTACGAAGTATTTGATGCAAACCAGGGGCTTCAACATCATCTTGTGCGAGAGTGATTGGACTTTCATGTGGCACGTGAACCAGTACGTGCACCGCAAGAAGAGCAATATGTTTCCAGACGCCACCCGCTTTCCAGATGCTTGGTTGATCTTGGTTGTAAGTGATCTGAACTTAAGAGTGTACACAACCCATCAAGAATGGTCAGGGGTGGCGCCAGTATTCCAACGCGTGTGGTGTATTGTCACCATTAACCTTGATTCCTACTGTCATGTTTATGCTTCATACAGCTGCGGCCTTGACCAACACCATTCTGCCGTTACTGTTAGTTCTGCCGTGGTGGTGGATGGCCTTTCAATGTTGATTTAAGCTAGCACTTGTTGGTGATATTGGCACTGCCAGTGCTGACGGTCATCGCAGATGCTGTGCAAGATGCTTGCTTACACCAGGACTGCTATCCACGACGCTGATTCATGCTTCACTGAAGCAGCAAGCAGCGGATAACAAAAGCTCCAAGAACACGGACAAAGAAGCTCCGGCAGTAGCAAAGCTTGTCAGCAGAGATCTTGTTCAAACCACGTTTTGCAAAAAGACGCATCTGACAAAAGGTCGCAAGCAACGATATGGTTGGTGATTGGGTTTTTTGTGTGCGACAAGGATTGGATGTGGAAGAACCGTCCCTTCTACGAGCTGGTGGAGTGGATGCGTAAACGCGCGTCCTCGGATGGACCCTTCGTCTTTGGGATGGATTGCTACTGTAAGGAGGAGGCCAAAGAGGAGGTTCTCAACTTCTTCGATTTCTATGATCGAGAGAACCTTGGGAAGGACTGCTTTGATGGCTTTAGGGGTTAGGGTTTAGGGATTTAAGTAGCTTGGAAGGCGGAGTCGCAGCAGGCCAGTTGCAAAAGTAGGCTGGAAAGGTAACTCATCAAGCCAGAGTCAGAGACGCAAGTTGCGAGAGGGGGAGAGTGCCGGAACAAGGAGTTTCGCCGCACATTGTATCCGGCAGAGCAGCCAGACAGGTCTTTGCCTTACTGTGGGATGGAAACGTAGTTCTAGGAAAGCAGTCGAGGAACTGTGCTGAGTGCTTGACTCTGTAATAAAGCGGGCTCAGTTGCAATTGCCACAGAACACGAGGAAGCCCAGTAACTGTCTTCTGCCCCTCTTTGCGCTGGTTGCATAACTAGGCCGACGAGGCACTCTCTCATGCAGGGAAGATGCTTTGTCGCTTCGGTTCATGTTCCCTATGCTTCGAACCGCATTCTGGAAGTGACTGCACCAACCGCTTTCGGCTTGGCCAGCCTGCTACGCACTGACCCCTGCGAGTGAGCTTCCAAGAGAGCCCTTCAGTTTTGCGCAGCACTGTTTGGCCTTATAAGCGTTGAGCTCAAGCCTTGCACAGAGACAAAGGGGTCACAGGATTTCTTACACCACAGGACGGGGTTTTCCTAAAACGAGATTTTTGCTGCCTTGGGCCATGAGCCACAATTGGGGGTTCCTGGCGCCGCTAGCAGCGCCTGGGCCCTGGGCCGCTGCCCCGTTGCCTGCGCCAAGGCGCGCCGGCGGGCCCAGGCGGCCCAGGCTGCGAGGCTTCGAAGCGCCAGCCGCGCGGCCTGGGCCCAGGCTCGTCCGCCGCCTGGCGCAGTGGGAGGGCCGTGACGGCCGTGATGTGAATGTCACGGAGGTCGAAGACATGGCGGAGGCTCACTCGCCCGCAAAGGCTGAGGAGCCATGGACGCTGCAGCAGCTCATCTCGATCGTGAGTGGCTTCATTGGTTCCATCTTGTCGCTGAACGCATACTCACAGCTTCGAGAGGCCAGCAAGCAGCGAGAGGCAATTGCGCGTGTGAGCACAAAGCCGAAGGTGTCTTCAAGCAGTTTGGGCAGTTACAAGAACGCTCGGATTGTACAGCAGTTGGGGGGCTCGTTGCTCGATGCGGAAGCAGAATCTCCGCTTTTCTCCTTAGGGCCGGTTCCAGCTTGCACGGCAGCTTCGAACTTGAATAGTCCCGGCCGCCACTTCACAATCATCACGACCGCAGCACTCCCGTGGCGCACAGGCACTGCCGTGAACCCGCTCCTGAGGGCTCTGTGCCTGGCCGAGCGGGGGAAGCCTGTGATCCTGTACCTGCCTTTCTTGGAGGCGGAAGAGGATCAGGCGTGCGTCTTTGCCAAGGATGTGCGCTTTGAGACCCCAGAGGAGCAGGAGGTGACCGTGCGGGAGTGGTGTGAGGAGCGAGCCAAGGTGGACCTGCACAAGGTCGATCTCAAGTTCCGATGGTACCCTGCCAAATATGTGGTGTCCTTGGGCAGCATTTTTCCGACTGGCGACTGCACGAAAAGCATTCTGGACACCGACCCCAAGGATGTCTTAATTCTCGAGGAGCCAGAACACCTGTGCTGGTTTCACTATGGCCAGCGCTGGCCAAACTTGTTCCGGCACGTTATTGGAATTGTGCACACGAACTATTCGGACTACATGAACATCGTCAACTCTTCCAGCAGTTGGGTGGCAGGGAGAATGCCCGTGGAATCTGGGCTCTTCTGACGGGGTTTAAATGTGAGCTACCAAAATAGGGATCTATAGTAAATAGTGTGGTTTGTTTATTATCTTATCAGAGTACCTTGAATTAAGTTAAATAGTGATCCATAGTAAATAATAGGGTTTCCTTATTATGGTACCTTAGACTATAAGCTCCTTATCTTATTTCATTTGGAGTATCTTAAATTGAGTTCAATAGGGATCTATGGTAAATACTAGGGTTTCCTCGTTATGATACCTTAACCCTAAACCCTAAACCCTAAACTCTAAACCCTAAACCCTAACAAGAACCCAGGAGTTGAAGGAGGCCTCGGTGTTTACAGCCTCGACCATCGTCTGCAGTGCCTACTGCGACGTGAACATCAAGCTCTCAGACACCATCATGCCTCTCCCAAACGAGGTCATGCTTAAAGGATCATGGGACTTAGTAACGAGGGTTAGAAATAAGATACCTATACTTATAACTTATAACTACTTGTATCCCCAATTAGGGTACTTATAACCTTGCCTCTCCCAAACGAGGTCACGTGCAACGTCCACGGAGTCAGGTCTGACTTCCTGCAAATCGGAGACAGGAGTGGCAGAGTCTCGTGTGCTTTGAGCAGTGTTGCATCAATCTGGATCCTTTCAAAGGCGGTTACGCTCGGTCTGTTTGGGTACGTGGTATGTGGAAAAAAGCGTAGTCAGGTGGAACACTGATCGGCTCAGATGTGTGCAGGAGCCATGTGCAAAGAGAAGGTGCAGCTCGTGCCTACTACCTTGGCAAGGCCCGAAAGACTGCCTCGTTTTGGGTCCAATGGAAAATGCGTGGGCTGCTGTGTTGGGGTTGGTGCTGCTTTCGTTGTCGTCTTGTGCTGGCTCTTGTGCTGCCCTGGCATCGCGATACTTTCGCTGATTGATTTATGAGCGCCCATAGCAACCGCTGCTGCTGCTGCTGCTGCTGATGCTGTGCTAGTGCTGCGACGACGACGAAGACGGCGACGGCGGCCGAGCATTGCGAGAATACTCCGGACCCGTGCAGTGCACTTTTGCTTCCAGCCTGCTGTTGCCTTCTTTCAACCGTAGAGGACGCAACACCAATTCCTTGGAACGTGGCGGAAACATGCACCGGGGCTCCTCCACTTTTGCAAGATGTCGCCAGGCGCTCTATCCGAAAGGTTGGCGGGAGCTCTTAGACCTCATTGTGGCCGCTGGGTCCGATCTGGCCGGAATCAAAGTGGACCCTGGGCTTCGTTTAAACACGTAACCGCTTCTTGCGGACGAGACATCGGAACTGCGCTGAAAGTTGCTAGTGCATTTGCATTTTCCATGAGCCCTGCAGGATGGCTATGGATCAGGCCGGTGTGGGTTTCCTTGTGAAAAGTTTTTGTGGTTCGGTGCTGGCCGCAAAGCCACCGACAGGTCCGGATGGCGAGAGTATCAGACTCGAGGCGGCATCTCTGCCTGAAAACGGAGCGCTGCTGAACATGAACCCGGGTATCGACCATGCAGACGAGACGATTCATGGGCACCTGCGATTGTTTTGAAGATGCTTCTTTTTGTTTGCTGTAGGAATCCCCGGGGCAGCTGCTTGCACTTCGCTCCTTTCACAGGTATGGTGTCCTCGTGAACCCATCCACCACCGACGTCTTGTGCACCGTGAGCGTGGAAGCACTGGCCATGGGAAAGCACCTCGTCCTGGCGCGCCACGTGTCCAACCGCTTCTTCGAGCAGTTCAAGGCTTGAAAGCCGCAGGAAAAAACCCACCTTTTCCACCCCCCCCTCCCTCAGCAACCCCCTCACGCCTACGCTTACTCTATCCGGTTGGCTTGGCCTAACTTTGCAGAACCCGGGCTACAGGTCCTGTATGTAAGCCTGCGCAGCAGGTGCAGTTGAGCCTCGGGCATCTATAAAACACCTGCAATGCACTGCTGTCCGCTTATGTGAGTGGTTGTCAATGGTCCCTTTTTTGGGTCCTTATTATAATGCGGCACCTGATATTTAGGGTACCCAGAAAGGGGGCCATAGTTTTGACAACTTCCCATGTAGGACAGATGTCACTTCTTCGAGATCGGCGATGCCGACAGCTTCGTGAAGGCATTCCAGGCTGCTTTGGCTGCAGGCGCTGCCCTGCACAAACCCCTCCCTCACTCCCTCCCTCCCTTCCTCCCTCTCCCTCCCCCTCCCTCCTACTACCTCCCTCTCTTTCTCTCCCTCCCTCTCTTGCTCTGTCTCGCTCGCCCTGTCCCGGAATGAGAGCCGAAAATCTTCTCAAACCCGTGGTCTGGACAGGTGATCCCACGCCGCTTCCACCGGAGCAGCGACGCATCCTCACGTGGGATGCAGCTACAGATCGTCTCTTCGAATCAGCCGAGGCCTCCCAACCACGCGTCGATTTCAGTGTAGAGGTTGGTGTTCAGCTCCTCCAGTGTTGAGCATGGGGTCTAGCGAAGCTCTTCAAGTCATAGTAGATATTATAGTACCTTATAGTTATACTATGGTTATATTAAGGTATATTATGGCAACCCTTAGAGTCACCCTTAAAGCAGGAGTCGTAGAGTCTAGTCGTCAGTCACCCCAAAGACGAGTTTTATCCTGAGCCGGGCTTTGTTGCTGGAGGCCTTACAGAAGCTGTGAGCTTCTTTGGAGAATCATAGAAAGTGTTCCTGTTGTAGAGACACAGCAGATGGCCACTTTGCGCAGGTTCGTGTCCTTTCAGGGCGCTACCAGCGCCCTTCAGAAGCAGCCGCGTCTAGACTTGCCTACCAGATGCATTTCGACATGTTCAAAGATGGCTCTGTCTTGGCTGATGTTGTCCGCCAGATTTCGAGCCCTGGCTGCCGTTTTTAGAAGCCGTTCTGTTTGAGTTGCATGCTTCCCAACCTTCCATGAACAGTGCATTGCATTGAATAACATAGAGTTTCATAGAGTCATAGAGCTGTGGTGTCGGATCTGCCAGTAGACTTAAGCCCCGACCGCCCGGCGCAGATGTTTCTGACCGCCGTGGCAAGTGCAGGAAGCAAGAGACACACACACAAGTCTCAACCAAGCATTTTCGCGGAGCAGAATTTCGGAGCGCCAAAAAACCGTAGCTCCCAGAACTCGGGCCGTAAACCCGAAACCCCACACCCCGAGACCCGGCACTTTTGATGCAGGTTTGGCTCGGAGTATACGGAAACTCCGTGGGATGAGCACCTTTGGCCCGGTGAAAGTAGGCATAGCGAGGGTTGCAAGTACTAGCAGAACTGGTAGTAGTAGTCGTCGTCGTCATCGTAGTAGTAGTAGTAGTAGTAGTAGTAGTAGTAGTAGTAGTAGTAGTAGTAGTAGTAGCACTACCACGACGACAACAACAACAACTACTACTACTACTGCTGCTGCTGCTGCTACTGCTACTGCTACTGCTACTGCTACTGCTACTTCTACTGCTACGGCTACGGCTACGGCTACTGCTACTGCTACTGCTACTGCTACTGCTACTGCTACAACAACAACAGCAACAACTACTACCACTACTACGACGACTACTACTGATACTGACAATAACGACAAGAGAATCATTACGTGCAATGACAGCAGTTATATTCTAGCCTGCTATGTCGTGCCCTTGCATTGCGAGACTCTTGACGATGGCACGGCAGAGAAAGAGAATGACAGCAACGCCGCCGCCGCCATCGCCACCACCACTGCTACTACTACCACCACTACTACGACTGCTACTACTACTACTACTGCTGCAGCTACTGCGGCCACTACGACTACTACTACTAGCCACCCCCCCCTACCAACCATCTCTTTTACATACTCTTGTAACCCACATCCGTTTTACTCGGTATTTACAGCACTTTCGTCATGTAGGAACATCTTATGAAGCTAGAAATTTCATCTCCGAGTTTTCAAACTCCAGCATCCGATTGTGGATTTTTTTGTTGTGGGGGTGCATGGGTGTGCGGGAAGAATGAAGTCGAGATTGTTACGCGGACACCTCGAACAACATCTCCGCAAGAGCCATTTTACTCGGTATTTACAGTACTTTCGGGATGTCCGCCATCTTATAAAGTTGCCAAGCCTACCTCTGGACTTTTCTAAGTTGTCTGTTTGCCTTTGCGAGGGCTTTCAGCGAAAACTCGAAATTGGGTGGGGGAAGGCTTGTTTTACTCGGTCTTTAAAGTAGTTCATCTGGTATGTTAAATCTTCGTCATCATCATCATCATCAGCAACGAACATCATCACGACTTGAACAATCTCGACTTCATTCTTCCCGCACACCCACGCACCCCCACAACAAAACAATCCACAATCGGATGCTGGGGTTTGAAAACTCGGAGATGAAATTTCTAGCTTCATAAGATGTTCCTACATGACGAAAGTGCTGTAAATACCGAGTAAAACGGATGTGGGTTACAAGAGTATGGCACAGTCACAACAGAAACAAGTAAAAGTATCTTCGCAAAGTAAATATAGCCATACACTAGACCATCGTGGAGCATCTGGACTACTGTGAACAGTTCCTGTGGATACTCGCTGGCAATGTTCAAGGCTGCCTGTACATTATCAGCCCCCCCCCCCCCCCCAAGCAACGCATGTAGAAGGGGATGGTTGGTAGGGGGGGCGGGCCGCCTACTACTACTACTACTACTACTACTACTACTACTACTACTACTACTACTACTTCTATTACGACTACGACTACGACAGTACAGAATTAGTAGAAACAAGAACGACAAAAAACTATAACCATTCTTGGTACTACGGTAACAGTAACAGTAGTCACAAGAGTAACAGTAGCAGAAATAGTAACAGTAACAGAAAGAGTAACAGTAACGCGTATAATAGCAGTAACCCTAGCAGTAACAGGAACAGTAGCAGCAGCAGTACAAGTAACAGCACCACCAGCAGTAAAAGTAGTCGTCGTGATAGTGATAGGAATAGTGATATTGAGAGAGAGAGAGCGCGAGAGAGAGAGAGAGGAACTTCCCCTTCGCCATAGCCCTGGCGAAAGAAAGAGAGAGAGAGAGTGAGAGAGAGAGAGAGAGAGAGAGAGGGAGAGAGGGAGAGAGTGGTAGGGGGTAAACCCCCCTGCACCATAACCCTGGCGAAAGAAAGAGTGGTAATTAGTGACAGTGTTAGTGACAGAAGTAGAGTGCCAGTGATAGTGATAGCAATGCATAATATCACCTGCCAGTGAAGCTTCGAATGCGGCGATATGCTCAAGATCTTGAGGCTTATGGTAGGGCAATGGGTCGCGCCCGTGCTCTTTGAAGCCCGGCAGTTGTTGAGTGGCTGGAGCAGCTGCGGTGGGCCTTCCTGGGCAAGCATCCTCTTAGCCATCCTTGTGGCTTTCTTTTGTGGCTGCTGCTGCGGGGGCTTCCTGGCTTTACTTGCGCTGTCTGCTAACTGTCGGCGGCTTTTGCACGGGCTTCTCCGCCTACTTCTGGCTGAGCTGTGGCTCAATCCACCGGGGCCTTTGACCCCTGATCAACGTCTTGCCGAGTATCGGGCAAGGCGTGCATGAGCGAGCCCGATCCCGAGGTGGACTCGCTGGTGATCTCCTTTGGCGGCCTTGACATCACTGTGCGCCGCCGCTCGTCTCGTTCTTCGGCTCGTTCGGAGGACGGCTTTACTTTGGTCGAGGCTGAGCCGGAGGTCCCTCGCACTGCCACCGAGGAGGAAGTCCTCGAGGCCTATTCTGCTTCGGCCCTTGCTGCTCTGCATCTTCCTCAGCTGGATTCTTTGGCTGCCCGGCTCACTGGCTCTGGTGGAGAGTGGACAGGTGCTGCACGGCTTGCTAGGGCCTATCGGGCAGGCTTGGGGGCACGGCGCTTCTTGGCCGGCACCGCCCGCAAGATATCATCACCGCCGGCCCCGAGCTTGCGGAACATCTTCTACGTGGTCCTTCGTGCCCCTGACTTCCCTGACGGCTTCTGGACAAGGAGCTTTCAGGTGTACTCGGAGGCTGTTCGGGCCCGGGGAGCTCCTCGTGGCTCCTTTGATTCCGAAAGTGCCTCGCACGCCTTTGCAAGTCAGAGTGAGGTTGAGGGCTATCTCCTTGGAGCTTCCAGGGGATGGCCGGTGCAGCGAGTGTAAGGCGGGCCTTGACCCGCGATGTGGTGGAGGCCCAAGTGGCCGCGATCCGGCGGGACCGACCTTTGCCTCCAGCTTACCTGGTCCTGCGAGCTGCCGGCGAGGAGGGCCGAGACGACTACTCGGTCGCATACCTGCTCCGCTGCCGCGAGAATGGCTTCATGGCTGCCGTCCCCGGCGTAGGCCGGGTCCAGGAATACGTAGAGAGCTTGCTTTCGGAGGAGGGCGACTCGCTTGTGCTCTTCTACACGGACCAAGTGCAGGCCGAAACTGTTCGTGGTCGCCGGCTCGGGCCGGGGGAGGTCCTTCTTCTGGATTTGCCGTGGTCTGCAGTCGACCAGCTGGTGGGCCCTCAGGCTTTGCGAGGCATTGCCGATCGGGCCGCGAGGGTTGTTACCTTGAGCGTCGCAGACTCTCCGGGCCGCCCTTGTACTGGAGACGCTTTGGATGCAGCCGCTCGCTGGGTGGACCGATTGGATCCCGACACTGCTCAGGAGTACTATGCCAGCGCTCAGGAAGTCGAGGAGGAGCTCCCGGAGGACATCGACGGCGAGGAGTTGGAGGCAGACGAAGCTCCGGCAGCAGCTGCACCTTCACCGGCCCCGGCGCCGAGTTTGCGTCCCGTGCCACCGGTAGCTGCGCCGCCGGCTGCCGCCGCCTCGCGGAGGACGGGTGCTCTGTTCGCCTCTGCGCCGGCCCTCACGGATCAAGAGATTCAGCGGCTGCGCGCCTTGGCCGGTGCGGCCCCCGCTCGGACAGGAGGTGTGGAACGAACGACTCGCCCGGTCCTGGCCGACCCTCTGGAATCGGATCTGCATGCCGAAGCTGCGGCGGGCGCCCTGCCCCCACCGGATGTGGAGGACCCTGCCTTGGAGGATCCAGGAGTGGCGGCCGAACTCCAGCAGGGGTCTTCGTTGCAGCTGCTGCTCCTGGCCCAGATGCGGCAGAATGCTGCCCTGATTCAGCGGCTCTCTCCTTCGAAGGCGGCCGACGGCATTCAGGATGTTCTTTCCGGAGGTCCCAGCGGAGGCGACAGCAGCAGCGGAATAAAGGGTCACCTTGCTCGGGATGCTTTCCTTCGCCAGCTTCAAGACGCCAAGGGGGTGACGGCCCGAGTGCAAAACAACGCTCTGGCCGAGCTTGGGCTGGCTGCGGCCGAGCCCGGCCTCATGAGGGACTACGTCGAGAAGAGGCTTCCGCTGCAGGACCATCGCACCTTGTTGCATGTTGCCACAATGGCAGCACACGGCTGGGAGGCCGGCTTTCGCAGCGGGAATCAGGAACTGATGTCATTCACCAGCCGTCTTTTGGTCTTCGCAGAGCAAGTGTCTCTCGACGCGGGAAAGCTGCAGTTGGGTTATCTCTTGGGCGGCTTCCCAGACCCTTCACCGCTGGGGCTGGCGAGTCGGAGGGCCCCGGGCCTTCGGACCTTCAGCCGCCTGGCGGCTCCCCAGTGGCTTGCGGCAAACCTGGCCTACCTGAAGGACCTGGACTACGCCGAGACAAGGATTGCCCAGCTAGGTACCGGCAGACCGCCGGCGGCTCCAAAGAGCCAACCTTCTTCGAGTGCCGGCCAGGACGCCACGGAGCAGGAGGAAGAGCAGCAGCCGCGAAGGCGACCACCACGTCGCCCGAAGAATGCCTCATAGAATGCACAGGGGTTTCGGTTGATAGTTGCAGCTCACAGGCGCCCCCCGGAAGTCATGATAAGTGTTTTCCCAAAGGTCGCCGCCGAGCTGCTCTTTTGCCCGACTTCGATCCGAAATGCACAGACCTGATCGAGCCCCATAATTTAGGTTCCCTTTTAGTTAACTCCTTTTTCGGTTCTAATACCTGCCTCACTTGGTTCACCAAGGATGCCCTTAGGACCCGCGCCTGCACAGTTGAGACCAGGTCTGTCGGATCTGATCTATGGCCGGTCCCGCCGCCCAGGTGGCGTTGGACTGGCTGCACCCGCGGTGGCAGTCGTTTTCGGCAGCGCCACAAGAAGCTCCGTTTGCGAGCCCGGCTGCTTCAGCTTGTGATTTCAGCCCTTGATTGGGAGACTTTAGGGCACCCCTCCTTTGCCCCGCCTGGCGCCCGCATAGGAGACCCTACCACTTCTGCGCAGCAACGGGTTATCGATCATCTTGAGCTTCAGGTAGATTATCTGCTCAGTGTGCCTTCCTTTGTTGCGGATGATCTCGGCCGTGCCGCGGATAAATTGAGTAGCCTAGCCCATGTGATTCAGGAACTGCCCCAAGACAACCTTAGGGATGTGGACCTCCTTGGCTGGGCCGCTTCACTGCATGCCTCCTTCCTTCCTTACGAACACCTTAGGCCCCACGAACCCCAGCACAACGACGCCGGCCGAGACCATGCTTCCGGTCCGCTCAAAGCGGTGAGTGCACCTGTGCAGCCCGTGCGTTTTATCAACTTTCGAGCAGGGGCCGCTTTGCCAGTGGTAGCTAGCCGCGTCAAATGGAAGAGCCCTCCTAGCTTTAACCCGGCCCCCTACTTGGACCCGTTCCTTAGGCACGCTTTCGAGAACCCCGATTTCCTTAGACGCCCCAAAGGCGAATGGCCGAAGCTCGCTCCTGCTCGCGTTCACTGCTCGCGTGCCGAGTTGCTTAAGCTAGGGGAGTTGTGGGATAGTTTGGGTTCCGTTAGGATTACTCCTGCCTGTGAGGTCGATTGGGACGAAGCGGTAGGGGTGTTCTGCGTTGCTAAGAGTGCTGTCAATGACCGGTTGATCATTAACCCTACGGTGTGCAACTCACGTTCCTATACCGTTTCGCGGTTTTCGAAATCACTGGCTCCTGGCTGCCTCCTGTCCCTTCTTTCGCTGGCTCCGGGTATGTCCTTCAGGTTCGGGGCTGACGACCTTTCGGATTACTATTACACGTACCAAGTCAGCAAGCAGCGAGCCATCAGGAGCAGTTTCCGTTGTGCTTTTGCGCCGGCCGAGCTGGCCCACCTCTCGGCGGCACAGGGTTTGAACATGGAGGGCCCACAGGTGTTATCTCTTAACACCATGGCAATGGGCGACAGCATAGCCGTGGAGGTGGGCCAGTGTGCTCACTTCCAGGTGTTGCGGCAGCATGTGGGCTCTTTACTGCCTAGGGAAACCTTATTGTATCGTCATGTGGTTCCTAGTAGCAGTACGGTCGAACTTTTGTCGATTGATGATCACGTTTGCCTGCAAAAGCTGCCCACTGCCGACTTGTCGAGCGAGCCTGAGCTCCTTGACACTGCCATCTTTCAAGCTTCTTCGGTTGCCTATAAGCACACGGGTTTAGTTCTGAACGACAGCAAGAAGCGCAGAAACCTCACCCACGGAACGATTCTAGGAGCCGAGCTTGATGGCATCAGAGGGTGTGTTGGTCCTCCTCGTGACCGGCTGTTGAGCCTTGCTTTGCTCAGTGCGGTCCTTGCAAAAAGAGGCTTTGGCACTCGCGACCTGTTGGACAGAATAGTCGGCTGCTGGGTCCATGCGCTTATGTTTCGCAGGCCTGTGTTTGCTGTTGTCGATCAGCTTTTCCACGAAGGGCTAAAGAGGGCTCGCAACGAGGTGTTTCGGCTTTCGGGGATGGCTCGGAACGAACTGCAGATGCTCGCTTGTTTGGCCTCAACTCTGTTGTGCGACTTGCGTGCAACCTTTGACCCTGACCTTTATTGTCTTGATGCCTCTCCCTACGCCGGTGCCGTCTGTGCCTCGACTCTCGGTTCAAAGGCTACGGCAGAGCTGTGGAGGCACGGGGAGCTTCGGGGTTACCACACTAGGTTAGAGTCTTCGGTTTCCGCTTTGCTCACGGAGAAGGGTTTAGACCATGAAGGGGACAAGTTGTTTGGTGAGAGCGCTGGGCCACCGCCTGAATTCCAGCACCAGCCGCGGTGGGATCCCTTTGTGCCCAGGCCTCTTAGCGAAGGTCTTTTGTACGATGCAGTGGTCGTTAGCAATTCTGGCAAGTCCTGGGGTGACGCTTTAGTTGAGGCTGGCCTTAGGGTTTTGTTCCCTTTTGACAGTGTTGCCGGCGAAAGCCCGCTCGGTTGCCATGTGTCCAAGACTTTTGCTCGGGAGCTGCTGAGCCTCGCTGCCCGGCGTGTTGTGCGAGAGTGGCACTGCGCCTGCTCGTGGCCTGCTCTGAGCCGCCTGCGTGGGACCACTGTTGGTGCCGACGCCGAGGCTGCCCTTACGTCGCTGCGGCGCTTGCGCCTCGTCCTAACTTTGGCCATCCGCTGCGAACAATTTGTCTCCATGGAACAAGCCCGGGGTTCCCTGGGTCTGACTGGGCCCGCTCTCTGCACGCTGTGCTCACTCGGCTGTGTGATCACTTCGACCTGTCACTGTGGCTTTGGCAGCCCTTACCTGCGGCACACAGTGTTGGTGCACAATAAGCCCTGGCTTTGCTCCCTGGCTCGCTCTTGCAGCTGCACCGCGAAGGCACACTGGCCTTGCAATGGTCACTTCGAGCCTGGCGACATTGAGACTTTTGCGGCCCGCTGCCAGCCCTCACTTGAGCAGGTCTACGCTCGGCCGCCGCTGCTTGGTGAGTCTTTTGGGAGTTTCTCGCTTCAGCTGCCCGTGCCTGGCTACTCGAGTCGGTGCCGGCTCTGCTGCTGCTTCACGAGGTTTTGTCCCTGCCGTGCCTTTGGAGGCTCGTGTGCACACGGCGGCCCGCCTTGGCATTGATGTTGGCCTCGGGCTCCTCGAGTCAAGCCGTGCTGAGCCCTGCTTTCCTGATCGGCAGTGGCACGAGGACCCTGAATGGATCTCAGAAATTTGCCGCTCGCTTAAGTTTCGGGAGCTCTTTAGGTTTGTTTTTAGGAAGCCGGGCCACATCAATGTCAATGAATCTCGGGTTTTCAAGACTTGGGTGAAATCGCTCGCCCGCCGGAGCCATTCGGTGCGTGCTACTGGTTTGTTGGACTCTAGGGTTACGATAGGTGCCGCTGCTAAAGGTAGGTCTAGCAGTCACGCTATTTCCCGTGTGCTTCAGGGTTGCCTTGGATACGTTTTGGGGTCGGGGATCTACACGAGCCTTCTCCACGTGTATTCGGGTGACAACGTTGCTGACAATCCCTCGCGAGGCAAGGACGTGTCCCCGCCGACCATTGAGGAGCCAAGATGGCTGCAGCGACTGCGCGAAGGGCAGACCGCTGACTTTGAGTCGGTGACGCTGGCGGGGAGGGTGGCGCGCAATCCTGCGCGGTGGTTGCGCTTCCTTTTGCTGTTGGCCGGGGACATTGAGAGGAATCCTGGTCCTCGCCGCGTGGCCCCTGTTCCACGTGGTCCGTTGAACCTCGAGGCTGGATTTGCTCACAGCACGGCCCACAAGATGACCAAGAGTTTCGCTGCCTTTAAGGTCTGGCTTCGTACAAAAGCTGGCTGCTCTCCTGACTCAGTGCTTGCGGACACTGAGCTTACTGCTCTGGCGCTCCGAGGCTACGGCCTCCACCTGTACGAGACTGGGCTGCCGAGGTACCTCTTTGTTTATGCAATCACTGCTGTTCAGGATGCTTTTCCGCAGCACCGGAATTTCTTGACACCGGCTTGGCAGATCGACAAGAAGTGGCAGCGTGCTGAGCCTGGTGAGTGCCGTCCTGTGCTGCCTGTCGCGGCGGTTCGTGCCGCTTTGAGCATTGGCATGCTCTGGAACTGGCACCTTTGGACGTGCCTGGTTATCATTGGTTTTCTGGCGATGCTCCATCCTGGAGAACTCTTGAACTTGACTCGCCGCGACTTGGTTTTCCCCGAGGACACGTTTGGCCACACGAGTTCGTTGTTCGTGCACTTGAGAAGCCCTAAGACCAGCAGGTTTGCTCGCAGGCAACACGGCCGCATAGACGATGCGGCTGCGATCGCCTATCTGTATTCAGTGCTGCGCCAGCTGAGTCCAGATGATCGCATTTACCCTGCTTCGATGCATTGCTTCCGCCGACAATGGGACGCAGTGCTGAGCAGACTGGGGTTGCCAGTGAGGGCTGCTGATCGTGGCGCTACGCCCGGAGTCCTTCGGGGCTCGGGCGCAACTTTCTTCTACATTTGCACAGAAAACATTCCGCCGCTGGCCTGGCGCGGCCGTTGGGCCCGTGTCAAAACCCTGGAGTATTATTTGCAAGAAGTCGCTGCTCAGGTTTTGCTATCAGAACTGGATGCCACCAGCCGGGCGCGCATCAAGCTTCTGGACAAGGCTGCTGACAGCCTGCTGTTTTACTTCATGGGTGCTACGCAGTATTGAAGGAGTGGAGAGCGAGACATGTCTCTTTGGAAATTCTTTTAATTTCCGCTTGGAAGCGGAGGCCACTGATCGTTGAGAAACTCCGTCAGGCCTCGCTTCAAAGGCTGCCTTCGGCAGCGCAGATCGGGACGCTCAGAGCCGCGCAGGCGGAACAAAGGTGATGCATAATATCACCTGCCAGTGAAGCTTCGAATGCGGCGATATGCTCAAGATCTCCCACCCGGCCCGCCCGGAGAGCGAGACATGTCTCTTTGGAAATTCTTTTAATTTCCGCTTGGAAGCGGAGGCCACTGATCGTTGAGAAACTCCGTCAGGCCTCGCTTCAAAGGCTGCCTTCGGCAGCGCAGATCGGGACGCTCAGAGCCGCGCAGGCGGAACAAAGGTGATAGTAATAGCAATATTAGTGGTATTGTAGTGGTAATGCTCATCGCAATAGCAATAGTAGTAACACGGCAATAGGAACTGTGTTGATAATGATAATGTAATCAAATGATGACAACTACAAACTAGTAATACTAGCAGAATCAACCAATGACACCTGCAATAAGACATGAGTAACCAAGCTAATGACAACATAAATTGTTGACAAGAACAGTGTTGAATTCTAAGCATCGCAACAGTAATACCAGTATCGATGCTATCAACGCTGCTACGAATAGCAATAGCCACAGCAATAGCAATACTAGCAATAACAATAGCAGTGGCAATGCCAGCAACGACAACATCATAAACAACAAACAACAGTATTAGGAGCATGAAGGTTGATCGCGAATTGTACAGTCTGGGGGTTGTTCGGAGCCCCTCTCGAAGCGGCCAGCCGAAGCCGTAGGAATAGCCCAGGTACTTCAGGGAATGGCGAAAGTCACAGCTGAATGTTCTCAAGCAGGAGGCAAAGAGGTTCCAGACCCAGCTGGAAGGGCAGACCTCTCACCTTCTGGAATACGAGACGTACTTGAAGGCCCGGGTGACAGAAGTTCTTGTGGCTGGTTTGGCTGCTGCGCATTGATGGTGTTCGTGCGAGGTCCGAGGTTTAAGGTTTCTTTTGATGTCTGAGCGCATCTTTCTGCTGGCAGTCTGGCGCGGGGTCCGCAGCACCAGAGCCTGAGTGAACACTTCCGTCCATGTGTTTCATGGAGGAAGGTTCGATGCTGAACTCTCAATGCCTGTCCAGGACAGATTCGAAGAGATTTCTGAGATGATCGTTCCAAAGAAGCAATGAGATCGAAACCAAAAGACGCGTCACCATGTACGTCTGTAGCATGATTCTGTAAGTGGCCAGTGGGCTTCGGATTCGCTGATTCGAGAGTAGTTGTAGATCTCATTGATCCGTTTCACCGGTAGTTTCGGTTTTTATTGGGACGTGTTTCCAAGGGGCAGGTGCTTCCTTACGCAATGTAAGCACGACGCATGGACATCAGCAGCACGGCCCACCCAAGAACCATTCCCTGACTTTGAGCCGGGAATTGCTTGTGCTCGTGCACAGATATAGTTTGCCGCGTAAAAAAGCGTCAGCTTCACGCGCCCCGACTCACGGGAGGTGGAAGAGCTGGGTAAACCTCGGATTCGGTCAATGTCTACTATGGCATGGCCTAAAATAATTACCAATACTGTTTTTTTGGGGGGGGGTCGGGCCCCAAAACCTTATTCTTTTTTGTTAAGGCCCCTACATCGGTCTCAGTCAGGTGGCCAGATGTTCTGGCAAAGCTGCAGTGGGAGTTCCAAGCGGACTCTGGCATCCAACCGGGGCCTCTGGGCTTGGGAACTAGGAGTTTTAAGTTATATGGGAGTTTTTCAAAAACTAAGGGTACCTTAGTTTGGGGTCCTTATGATAAGGATCCTACTATTGGGGTCCCCTATCTTCGGAAACTCCCATATGGTATAAGACAAGTTATTAGTTCTTAGTTATTAGAAATTTCCACTCGAATTCTGATACAGGCACAGGTGTATAATGGTGGTAGTAGGAAGAACAACAACAATTGACGTCGATGGCACTTGAGCGAATTCGATTTTCTGAATTTGTACACATTCAGGAGGATGCTTAACATCTGCGGTTGGTCTGCTAGGTCCGCTAGGTTTAAGTGGGCCGGCATACCTCCTGTGGTCCTTGAAACTGGGAGCCGGACACGCACAAACAAACATAGGAGTTTCCGAAAATAGGGGACCCTAATATAATATAGTATCTTAAATCGTAGGATCCTCATTATAAGGACCCCAAAATAAGGTATCCCTAATTCTTGGAATCTCCCACATGTAAATAGACTCAATGTTCCCTCTCTTGCTGCTGGCCGTCGCTGCAGCTGGACTAGCTGCTTCAGCCCCTTCGGAGAATTCCGGAGTGCTCCTTCCGCTAGCCTTGTAGCTTTAGGCGGTCAGGGGAAGTCGCAGCACCCAGCAGGGTCACTTTGCTTTGCTTTGGCTGTCTACTGGAGGCGGCAGAAGGCGGCGGCAAACGGCTCTTGCGGAAGCATCGTTCCTTTGCTGCAGGCTGCACCCATGAAACATCCAGGACGCTTCGTCAGTTTCAGCTCAAGACATGGACCGGAATGCACCATCAAAGGTACTGGCTTCGAAGAAGTTCAGGGGATGTTCTAAGCTCGACCAGTTCAACGTGGAACAGAATCTGGAATCCCGGCACTTCTGTGATTTGTGGATGCAGGCGATGTAGAGCCTTTCAGACCCCAGACCCCTCCCGTCCTCTTGGCACCCCACTTGTATTAGTGCGGGAATCAAGAATCAAGTCCATATTGTTGACGCTGCTGTCCTATACTCGTAGTCGGCCCCTGGTCTTCAATGGAGCTGTGGCTGCAGCAGGCGGGTAGGGGGACGGGTCGGATCTTGGCCGCATCTCCTCGTTGAAACGGAGACGGGGAGAGGAAGCAGCCCTGAACGCCCGAACCCCGGAATCCACAACCCCCAACCCCAAACCATGCAACAACCGTCACAAGGCCCTAGAATTCCGTGCCACACTCCACATATCCAGTTTTTCCCCGAAGGAGTGCATAGTTTAGGGTTTAGGGTTTAGACTCCTAAACCTTAAATCCGTCCAGCAGTTCATCCAAGACACCCTGCAATGCGGGCTTCGTCCTTGCTAGGTAGGAGGGAAAAAAACCCTAATTTCCATGCCAGCCAGTCTCAAGTACACTGGCGGGAATGGCACCGCTACATGACTGCACGTGAACGGGGAGAAGTCATACAGCATGAAGACTGCGTGGCGCGTATCGCAATCCAAGTGAGCACTTATGGTGCTGCGACACTGGGCCAGTTGGCAAACGGCAAGAAAACTTCTGAAAGCAGTGGCAGAAAGACTGGCAAGCGAAACCGGTTATATCGTGAAGATGTACGGTGGCCCCATGAGAGCAATCGTTACCAGGGCAGTCAAAAGCAGCGCACAAGCTGGTGTGAACAAAACAGTACCCCAGTACCACGAGAAATGAGCCTGACGACTGAGCCGTTTCACCTAGCTACTAGACCGTGAGCTCGCTTTTGGTCTTGTGGCTTTAGTTAGTGCCCTCCCCCGGTAAGTTTTTCAGCTACTTGGTTCTGTTTTGGTTGGGTATGTTACCTTGAAGGGGGCGTAGCTGTTTCGCAGTCAAAGCCTTACTGTGCCAGGGCGTCGACATCCTTTGTGGCCTTAACTTCTTGTTCTGCTGTTTTCTTACGAGTCGGATACCGATGTCTGTAGACCTACTGTAGTTCGCTTTGGTGACATCACAGTAGCTCCTGTCAGTTAATTAGTATCAGCAATCTCGATTCTGGTTTTGTGTGGCACTACCTTCGTGTTGTGCGGTGTTGTGCATGTGCGGAGTTGAGTGAGCTGATTGCAGTACCGACGCGCACCGAGAACCTCGTCTGGCAAGTCCGAGTTGCGAGAGCGTAAACCCAAAGGAGTGCATGATCGCCGCCGACGAGTACTACTCAAAGCAGCGCCTGGAGCCTCCGGGGTCGCGGGCGAGCTGGTGCCGGAGCTGCAGAAGTTTTCCTCGCTTCTTTTGTATACATGTTTATACTACTGTACAATGTGGGGTTGTGAGTATACACATATCTCTATCTATGCATATATATATATATATATACACCCTTTTATCTATCTATCTCTCTCGCTCTCTCTCTCCCTCCCTCTGTCTGTCGCTCTCGCTCTCTCTCTCTCTCTCTGTCTCCCTCTGTTTCTCTCTCCCTCTCTGGGCCTCTTGCGTCGAACCGCACAAAGAAATCGTATTTGTGAGGCAGAGTTGTGTCAAGGTCCAGTCCCCGTGGCCCTGAATTGGGAAGCACTTACCATCACGCAACCATTCCGGCATCTTACAGCGATGTGAAAGGAATGCTCGTGACCAGCACATGATGACGACCATTCTTCGACTGCGGGCGCATTCGCGCGAGCTCTTCGGGGTCGATGAGAAGGTCGGGCAGGGAACCCCCGAGGCCAAACCTTGGATTCCAGACTCCCAAAGCCTCACGGAGGGATGGAAGGGTCCTCTCTGGATTTCGGAGGCTTCGGATATGTGGGAACAGGGAGGCTTGATGGGTTCTGCTGGGCCAGGACTTGAAAATCATCGTCTGGGCGCACAACTCTCATGTGGGTGATGCAACCGCCACCCCGATGGGCGGAATGAACTTTGAGAGAAACGAGCCATTCGACTGCGCTGGTGTTCACTGGGCTTTTCAGGGTTGTGCGCGCTTCAGCTGCCAAGGAAGTGGAACCTTGGCCAGCCGCCTTCACTGCACTAGCGGTTAACCCGGGGCCTTCCTGCGACCAGCTGTGCGCAAACAGTTGCCCCTATGGTAGCCGGTCGCCCTTGTAGCACCTCTTAAAAGGTTCTGAAAGGGGGGCCCTTAAGGATGTGCCGAAGCACACTGGAGTCGGTGTTCATCGTGGGCTTCTACTCCTTCTGTGGGGAGGTGAGGGCCGCCAAGAGATGGGGGGGCGAAGGCCAGGTCATGCCACTGACCCCTGCAGCGCCTGGGCCGAGAGAACGGAGGGCGCGAAACCCTAAACCCAAAAATCCTGAAGCCCCGAAACTCCGAAACCCCGAAACCCTGACCCAAAGATTCATCTTTGAACAGAGCACTTTGGCCGAAGCTAAGGTGCCTTATTCCTTCGAGCATCGTCTTCACGAATGGTTCCCACATCAGCGGGCCCAGTTTCCTCTCCACAAAGTTCGGGAGGCTTCCAAGAGATTTGAGCCCCTTCCCAGCACTTAGCTTTGGAACTCGGGAGCTGCAAGGTCAGTGGAGCAGCTCTGGTCTTGGCACTGCTGAGGTACGTCCCACAGAAGTTTCCATTGAACGTGGAGTACCGGGCGCTCCACCCGATGGTCAGGGTGAGCAAGGAGGTGATGCCACAGAACCCGTCAGTCGAAGCCGAGGAGGTAGGTGGTGATGGCTCTCTGAAGCATAAGCATCCCACGCTGGATCCGACGAAGCCTTTCACTGCTGTGAGTCGCACCCAAGTTGGAAAGCAAGGGGAAGTGGTGCGCCTGCAGATTCGCGGCTACGATCGGGGGCAGTATGATGGATGGTGGGTGACGGAGTACACCCGTCACGGGTCGAGGACGATCCATTGCTTACCCTCTAGTCACTTGAACGCCCTTTCGGGCCCCCTTCCAACGCCGGAGAAGGCAAGGGCGCTCGCCAACTTTCCGATTCTCCAGCGATGGGTCGGCGTGCAGTATCACCCCGAGGCGGGTGTCCCTTTAAAGGGTAAAGGGCGAAGGGAGACATGTTGCACGTCCCTTCGCCCCGAGACGGAGATCGAGTCCCACTACGGTGAGATGGCCATCGCCAGGTGCTATGACCTTGCGCCTCGGATGCACGAGATCTCGCCATGCAAGCACAGCCCAGGCATCACGACATCACTAAAGCCTTTCCGAAAGAAGCAGACCAAAAGTGGTTGCAGGCCGTGTTTGTGGACAAGACTCGGGCCCTGGATATCGACATGACTGCATCGACTCCTCTTCCTGTTTCTGCCGCCTTAAATGAGGCCGGGGCTGGGCTGCACTCGGGGTCGCTCGGGCATACATGTGCGAAGGCAGCACCTGGTGTCTTCCCGTCTTATCTCACTCTGTGCCGTCTCGTCTTCTGGCAGCGCGGTCACCAACTAGGCACCTGACAGGTCACTCAAAGTGTCTGTCGCTCGCCCGTGCGCTGTTCCACGTTGGAGTCGTGGAATCCCCAACCTCAGGCTCGTGAATCCTGTGTCCTCGAAGGTTTCGTGGTCTACAGTGCTGGATTACCGTGTCGTAGCGAAGGTTTGAATAAACCATAGACCTTAAACCCTGTGCTCCGAGTGTGAGCGCCGAAATCCTCTGCTAATGCCAATGTTTCACGCCGACCCCGCACCAAGAACCCTCCTGGCATGTCCGAGTTGTGAGAGCGTAAACCCTAAACCCCGGCGCCAGGGCGAGAAGCAAGCCCCCACTGAGTCCGCTGGAGCTGGCAATCGCCACAACCGGAGACTCTTGATGGAGCCCCTGCCTCAGCTATCCTATGCTACACTACTCCATACCATACTATACTAGACTAGACTATATCATGCTATACTGTACCACACTATATTATGCCACGCGATACTCTCCGGCGCATAGCTTCTGACTTTGGTGTTCCATCTCACGGTGCTCGAGGTACCGGCGGATTCTCAAAAATCCCATCGAGTACATCGAAGCGCGTCCGTTGGACACAAACATCTTAGAATGGCATTTCGTGATCACTGGAAACCAGGATCCGTACACAGGTGGTGCCTTGTCTAAACTTGGCCCCCCGATTAGGCTCTCCGCCCTCTTCGTAAAAAAAGATGTTGGGCATTGATGCATCGAAGTTGGCTCAGCCCGATTGTGACAGCATAGTAAGCTTGACAATAGGGATGGGCCCTGAACCCTGAGCCTCCTAAGCCCTAAATGGCCCCAAGAGAGTTTCTACGAAGCAGGGCTTTGCGCGCTGGGCAGAAAGAGTCTTCTTCGCGAGCAGCAGTATGCGATGTTCCTCCTACCTTAATTTAACTGTTGTTCTGTTTGCTGCGCCGTAGATGCTGCCATCATCTTCTCCCAGGCAGGCAGCTGGCATCAATGCTATGATCACGATCGTGACAAGAATTGTCATGGTTCTTGAGCTGTCAGTGAGCCCAGCATGTACAATCGTTATCAACTGTATCGTTTTTGGTGAGCTTTTTGGCTTGACATGGGTCCCGCTGCATTCAATACTGGCAGTGCAATGAAATTCACCATGACATGACGCTCGTAGAAAGGATCCTCAATGTCAGGACCCGCCAGACAAGGTGCAAGCAAACCATAAAGCCCGAGCTCACTCGATGTAGGAGGAAAAAACAGTGTGAGCGCCGAAACCCGAAATTTAAGTTTTCAGAACTCCCCACTTGGAAGATGAGGAGCCTCGCCATAAGCATCAGCCAAAGATGCCATAAGCCAACAAGTAAAAATCCTAAACCCTGCGTTCTAAGCCGCGTAGTTTCGAGGCTTCGGGATCCCTCAAGGCCCTCCCCTGGAGCAGTCTGAGCCCTTTTGTAGCACGGCACCGGCTCAGGCAAATACCACGGCGACCTGGATGCAGAGATTTGTTCCCAGCTTTTCGTGATGCCTGGGCATGAACATTATAATGAGCGGCGGGTCACAGAGATGATGGCCAGGAGGTGAGGATGCTGATGTTGATACCGTCTGATGGCCGTGGTGATGCTTCGCAGTCGTCCGGCTCATCGCAGCCCTCAGCAGCAACGATTGTGCAATTGCACGGCCCTTTCCCAAAAATCCATCTGCATCCCCCTCATCATCCTCCTATCATCATCATCGTCACGTGACCTTGGCTCCTTGTTGTGTTCATAGTCTATTTCCATTGCAACGAGAAGGAAGATATTGGCAGGATGCCAATACACTCGTCCTTACAGCGCCCCCTCGCCGCTTTTGTGTTCAAATACAACATCCGAAAAATACTACCTCATCGTTGCCACCACCAGCAATCATCATCATCATCATCATAAGCACTATCGACTGCCGAAGGCATCCTGGAGTTTCCGGATGATTTTCCCATGAAGCCTCCGTCGATAAAGCGGCCTGGCTCGGGTGGGCCTTCTATATCGGCAGAGTAGGCTTGCTTTGTGTTTCGGCTACGCTTCCTTGGCTTCGTGTGAGCATCAGACAGCGAGACACCACTAGAAGGAGACGCGACTCTGACAGAATCATAGAATAAAAGTATAGTATATTATATATAATATAGCATATAATCTATAGCATAATATATAATATATAGTATAATATCATCAGTCCGACGAAGACCGAAGCCGCCACAATCCGAGTCCCAAAGCGGTGCCTGACTCAGGATGTTGACCCCAAGTGGCCGCTTCGAGATTAACAAGCGCATCTGCTTGTCAATGAGCGACTTCCACAAGGAGTGCGAACCTCAGATCTTCGAGTCTTGGATTTGGCAGAGTATCTTCTACGCTTCGTAGGATATCCCCCAAATGACAGAGACGAGCGAACAGAGAAATGACCATGAAATGGCAAGAATATGACAGGGCGGCACGAGAAGGAAGATTGGGCGATGCGCAAAGAATCAGCAACATTCAGGACAGATGCCAGAAGCATCATGTGACACATCAGCAGCACGATGATAGATGAAGTGGCAATGCTATTGAACCGGGAGTGTGCAAGTTTGACGAGCCTGGCGACAGTGATGGTTCTCTTGTCGTCACGCCTGCGACGACGCGATTAACAGTAGCAAGCATAATGCCACAAGCGACACGAGGGACGGCAATGATTTGGAAAGTCATAACGGTTATTGTGCAGAAGGGTCAAAGTGACAGGTTGTTCGCGTGAGTGGTTCTGCATGGGTCATCCTGCTCTGATGTGTCCAAAGCGGCGATGTTAATGGTGGCATTCAGCCGTCACAGTGTGCGAATGATCGCGATTCACGATGATCCTAGTAGGTGTTTTGATCATCATGAGCCCGGTGGTCATGTCTTCATATCGGTCATAGTGTATGGTGAGAATGAGCATACACGTCATTGTGCCATCATGGCTATCATAAGACCAGTTTGGTTCGGAGAGGGGTTTGCAAATCATGGTGATCATTATAGTCATAGGCATGATATTCCCAGCGTTGGCCAGTTTAGCATTGGCCAGAAGAGCACGACGGTGTTGGTCATTTAGACTGGTCAGAGAAAAAACTGAGAAGAAAGAAGTGACATCTTTTGTTTCCAAAGAAGGCTTTTCCTTGGCACCCATTCTTCTAGTGGTGTTTGGCCATCGCCATTTGTGATGATGAACTGATCCTAATCGTCGTGGTTTGTGGATTGCGCCCATACAGGTCATGAAAACTGTAGCTTCGCACACGATTTGTGGATGGTCCGTAGCGGCAACGGCCATTCTAGCTGCAGCCTTGCAGCAGTGATCAGCATTTTCCGGCAGTATGTATGGCTAGCCCAGGGACGCAGGAGTACAGTACCCTTTTGCTGATGCGGACCACTCGGGAGGTTCCGAACGATGCTGTGTTTGCGGACTGCTATCGGTAACGATGCTAAACGCCGGTGACTGCTGCTGTTGTTGCTGCTGTTGCTGCAACGCCTGTCTTATCTGATACGGTACATCATCATAATCACTAGGCATCACCGCTACTTCCGATCACCATCTGCAAATCAAGCTCCGAAGGACCCTGAAAGGTCCGGGACTAGGGTACCGGGTGCCCTGAACACCACCACCACAAACCCAAACCCAGCTTCCAAGCTGAGGCCCTTGCCAGAACTCGGTACACTTCTCGATTTGTGCACCATTGCTTGAGCCACGTCGATGGTGGCACTGGATAGTGCGAATGAGTCTGTTCAGACTCCGCGAAGCAATGCTTACATATGCATGCATGACAAGTCACTACCAAACACACTCCTCCTCACATTTCGCTGTACAGGGAAAAGTGCTCAAAAGTGTGTAGTGACGATTGCATAAGCAAGCGGAGTACTAACCAGTGGGCGTTCCAGACGCAACTTGCCTACCTTCACTCCGTCATGGTGTACGGTGAAATGCTGCCCTCAAAAGTTCCAGCATTTACCACAAAAACACTAGGAGCGAAGAAGAAAACTCGTTCGGTGAGCACTGCAACTCATGAGAGACACAATGACCCACCTGTCGTTCAGGCAGACTTCTGTAACGAGAGCTTCGTCTAGTCCAGAGTCTCGCACTTCGCTCGCAATGCATGCGAGTCAACGACAGACAACTTTGGCCTCGCTTGCTCCAGAGCCTTGCGCCCCAGAATCTTTGTCAATGGATCCGCTGGAATCGCCGCACCGCTCATGTACTTGATAGCGATTCCCTCTGAGACCGCCTGGTCACGAACCCAGCTGCAGCGCAAGCCAAAATGCCTAGTTCTCGTAGCTTGGTGATCTTGGTGTCCTTTCAAGAGGTTGGTGAGGCACGCGGCATTGTCTCCATACAGAGTCGCAGCCGGCCTGCGCATCGTGAGCCGTTCAAGTGTTTCTCGTACCTTGATGCCCATTTCCAGCGCTGTTGCCCCAGCATCCACTTCTGCTTCAAATGCGCTCCATGCCGTGATGGATTGTCGACACGAGCGCCATGTGATGACATGCTGTCCCCATGTGACAAGTGCACCGGTGCGGCTGCGACTTGCGCCTACGCCTAGCGATGCATCACCATAGAAATGCACCGGATCACTCATTCCAGTTGCATTCTGGTACCACAGACCACATGTCTTTGTGTACAACAGATAGCGCCACACCCCTACAGCCAACTTGACTGCCTTCGTTGGACTGAGCGTTGCGATGCACGCTATTCCGCCCGTCACTGCTGCGACGTCCGGTCTGCTCTTGAGTGCTAGCCACATCAAGCTTCCAATGTGTGATTGCGCGGTTTTCAAATCTTCTGCAAAGCTAGCTTCACGTGGATCCGGCAGGATAGTGCCCTCTGGCAACTCCGGCAAGGATGCGCTGCCCTTCAAGTGCAAAAGCCCTCTCTTCACAAGCTCAGCTTCCAACCAATGTGTCTGATGAATGAACACACCGGCTACGTCTCGCTTAAGCTTGCACCCAAGGAAGGTCAGCTCACTTCGTACTGGGATCTCAAGACCACTGAAGGTGAACACATCATGCTCCGCAAAATCCCTGGAGCATAGCATGCCTTGAATCTTCAATGTCCAAGACTCCATGAACGCCTTTGCCAGTGCAGCAACTAGGGTTGGGGGTCCCACCAAAAGCCCATCGTCTACGTAGAAAACAACCAAGGCCAGTGGGTTTTGATCAACATCCGACTCGTCGATCACCTTCCACACTCCAGGCTCTAGGCGAACCAACTTCAGACACTGATTATCGGGACCAACTACCCTCTTTGCCTCAACCTCTGCATCTCTGTCATGCTCCCACAGCTTCGGGCTACGGCGTAAACCGTAGAGGGCCCGCTTTAGCTTCCAGAGCACTGATCCGCTAATGATGTTGCGCTTTACCAATGCTGGCGGTGGGGACACGTACACGTCCTCGCCCTGGATCTTTGCATTGAGGAATGCGGCGCTGATGTCCAACACAAGTCCTGTCCAGTCCTGGTGTCGTGCCAACAAGCTTGCTGCGATCCGTATTGCTTCCGCTCCTGGGTTCAAGGATTGGTTCTCTGGAGCATGTGGTGTTGTCCCTTTCTCCCAATTTCCACATGCCACTAACCTTGCCTTGGCCTGCCAACTTCTCAACGATGCGTGCTCAGCTGAGGCGATGCCCTCAACTTCATCGGCAATGTTGTTCACTGGCTTGCGCTTCAACACTAGCTTTGTGGGTATCGGCTTCACACCTGCGGGAACCTTGCTCTTCTCTACCTCATCGTAGACATCCTTGCTAGCAAGATTTTCAAGTTCCGTGCCCACGCCCTCGGTTAGCCATTTTTCCAGCTCTGCTTCCGATATGGCGTTTCCAGTCAGGATGCTCTGCGGCACGGTTTCGCCGATCTCCACGGTGCCCTGAGCCTGCATTGCTAAGGTCCGCTCATGCTCATTCATCTCCTCCTCGAGACGATATGCCAAGATGTAGTACTTGTCCTTAGCCTCCTTGTTGCGACGCTGGTTGACATCCAATTCCTCCACATGCGCAGCGACTGCACTCGGTACTGCGTCATACGAAGAGTGAACTAGGAAGCCATGTCCAAAAAGGGTAAACAGTTTCTCTGCTCCTTCAGCTCCCTCTGGGTTCGCAAGCTTATACTTCATCATGGCAACAACATCGTCGGCTTCGGGCTTGATGAAGTCGCCTGTGGCCTCCTCGACCGTCAGCATGTCGATTGGCGGGGCGTCCCACTTCAGATCCCCCTCAGTGGAAACCCATACCATCTGTCCCTCAGCAGGTCCCTTGACCACCCTCCAGCGCTTCATAACTTGATCACTCAGCACTGGAAGACGAACAATTCGAACTGAAGTCTTATCCCCGCGCTTTACCATGACCCGGGCCCCACCTGGAGCCCGCTCCTCATTCGCAAGGAAAATGGCCTCCTCGGCCTTAGGCTCGAAAGCCTCTGCTACCGTTGCAGGTCGCCTGACAAGCACAGTGTCGCCCATCTTCGGGCGATCAGCTGGCAATGGCAGCTGCAAAGATTTCTGGCGTCGTAGGAAGCATGCCTCGAGAACTGCTTCGCTCCAGAGCTTCAAGGGCAGCCTACCGTGCAGCAGCAGCGAAGCCGCTGCAGACTTGATCAGTCCTACCAGCCTCTCTGCTTTTCCGTTTTGTTGGGGAGAGTATGGAACACTTGTGGTTGGCCAAAGACTCAATCGCTGGACTTCTGTAATAAACGCCTTGCCGACAAACTCTTTGCCGGCATCCGAATGTATCCGGAACACTTCCGGGACACCCTGACTGAGCGACACGATCTGGCACATGATTGAACTCAAAGCTTGAGCTACTTCCTCGGTTTTCTTTGTTTGCAACAAACGCACGAACGGTATGTCTGGGAATTCCCCGCCTGTGCACAAGTTCGCAACAAGAAAGTAGCGATGGCCTGAGAATGCAGTTGGATGAGGACCTGACAGGTCCATGGACAAAGTGCCCTTGGAAACATCACTCGGGTCCAGCCGCCGACACTTGCGCTTGTGACCGTGGGCCTCCAAACACTTGGGGCATCTGCGCTCGTAAAGGCCTTTACTGCATTGCTGCGACAGCCGATTGAGTGCTTGAGATCGTGCCCTTTCCTGAAAAGACGATACAGGACCAGACTCGTCAGCAACGATTGTGCACGCGACGGGCCATGGCTCATCACACGAAGGCTCTGGCGCGGGCTCAACCTGAAACCTACACACAGCCCCACAAACCTCGCAAAGACCCTCCGGCTCAAACTCACACATCGCATGATCATCACCATCATCGTCATCTCGACTGAATGCTTTCGGATTTGTGCTGGCTGTAACTGCCGAGGCTGCTACTGACTGCACATGTGTCGGGATCTTGAATCCCAACTCGCTGAGATTGGCGATGATGTTGCGATTCGCCTTGCTGAACCGACTGGGCGTAAATGCTGAAATCGTGCTGCGGATGCCTTGGTGGGCTTCTGCTCCATGCCATGCCTTGCCATTGAACGTGACTGCGGCCCCTGAAACCGAAAGCAAGCGACCAACCAGGACCTTCTGTTCTGTTACTCTTCGCTTTACATTGCCATCGACATCCTCGATCCACAGTTCACCGTGCTTGAACTCCGTAAGGCCGACAAGACCCACTTCAGTCTCAGGATGATTGAAACTATCACGATGAGGTTTGAGCGTGGCATCGATTGCCAGAACCAGGCTCGTGAAAGTGTGGTGAGGGAGCTCCCGCCTCACCAGCTCGCAGAGTACTCGAGTGAGATACGGTCGTTCCCTCGTTAGCGCAGTGAGTCCATCGACTCCACCGTGCGCGAAGTATCCGAACACCCACATCCGAGGCCTCGTCTCTCCATCAGTCTGCAGTGATGCCCGCGTCCGCTGACCCTTGAGACCAGCATCCTGAACCAGGTTCCAAACATTTTCACGGGTGATTTGTTCACTGGATAACATCTCCTTTGCCCTGGCTTCAGAACGCTCAACGTCATCAAGCTCTGATCGCGACTTATTGATGGTCACGTCCTCCTCTGCCCAGGTCTGCTCTGCTAGTTCTTCTGGGGTGCATGTGTCACACATCCGCAACTGTTGTAATGTAGTATCTGCTGGATCTTCCTTGGCGCTTGCTGCTGTGGATTCCTTCCTCTTGTATCTACGAGATAGAAGGATGCGAATAGGCTTGAAATCTGTCCAAGTGATGTAAGGAAGCCCATTTATGACCTGACACACCACCTTCATGTACTGCTTCCGATCCTCATCCCAATACCGCAACAAAGCACCCGATTCATCCCAACAGAACATGCCCCCAGCTTGAACTAGACGCCGTACGCTGAGAAGCCATTCTTGGCTGTCATCGGAAGATCTAATGCACAACTCTCCGTCACGAGATCTTAAGGCCTCCACCCGGTCGCCACTGGCTGTGGTGACTGATGTCTGCTTGCATCCTGTAGTGCTCATGGTCGGAAGCCACGGGCGAATGGTTTCATTTGCTCCTGAATCCACAAGTACCCAGGGCTCTGAGCCTTGAGCTCGTGATGCCTGGGCATGCCCCTCATCTCTGCATTCCAACTTGGCCCCAAAAGGTTCAGCATCCGGCTCCCCTTCTGAGAGCGGGTGCTCGACATCTTGGTTTCTGCGATGAGCCCATGCCCAAATATCCGGCAATTCCTCTAGTAAAATGTAACCTCGATTGATGGCTTGGGAGGCTTCTAAGATCTTGCGTCGAGGAACTGCGGGGATATCTGTTAAATCATCTTCTCGAATAAGATCCAAGTCTTCTATGGTTTCAACTCCAAGTGCACTCAAGATCCTCGCATACCGTGTGGCATCAATCATGTCCAGCATGACGTGAAGAGGGTCCGGCTCTGTACCAATCGCTGGCTCCTCCTCAGAGTTATCCCCGAGCTCCTCGAGGTTGGATTCTTCGGGCGATGTCTCCTCCTCAGTGGTTACCTCTCTAACCACAGCATGGTCATCAGCAAATTGAAAGGCAATACCTACCGGGATTGGGTCAGGCTCACAATGTTGCGCGCGTACGACACACCACCATGATGCTGTCGATGACTCTATCAGCAGACGGCCGCATCTGAGTCACAGGATGCTGCTCTGACATAGTTTGCAACATGTAGTCGCTGTCCCGTGGAGGTCACACTGATGAGCTCCTGATGCGCAATACCGTCCCGAAAACACTCCCATGCTTGCCACTCCAAAGCTTGCGACTCGTTGTCAGGATGCAAACGCTCCCAACAAGCTGCACTAGGAACCGATCCAGTCTGACCATACTGCTCCATCTCATCTCGTCCTAGCCTGATCATCCATAAGACATCACATGGAGAGGATAATGACCCATCAGAACTGCCCTGAGATCCTAGTCGCATCATGCACGCTCGCGCATGTGTCTCTGATCCCTGCGACGATGCCCCTGCAAGACATGGTATGTCAGGAGTGCAAACAGCTGCAGATTTCGCTGCCGACGAAGCTGGAGCTGCTTTGGCCTTAGCGTCTGCTGCTGCTTTGGCTTCGGCTTTGGTTTTGGCCTTGGCTTCCTTGGCCGCAGCCTTTGCTTTCGCTTTGGCTTCTGCTTTAGCCTTTGCTGCTGCATCGGTTGACTGATCGTGATCCTTGCCCTTCTTTCCTTTGCCTTTGCCCTTTGAGCCCTTAGGCCCTGCCGCCCCGGACGGGCCGTCATGAGAAAATGGACAATCTCGCCCACGTGAGCACCCTTCTGGAGTTGAATGAAACCAACAAGGTCTCTTCTCGCTTCCCTTTCCACTAGCCTTCGCAATCACATACTCATCATCATGCTGCTGCTTGTTCCCATGTCCCGCTGCAGTGCGCACGTCCTCATCTGCTGATAGCCGACGCGCTTCTTGTTCCACACACAGAATGAACCTATCCAGTCCAGATTTTGTGGTAACAATCACATCCTGCTGTAAACGCAACAAGTTCAGCTTCATGGAGAACTGAGGGTTACCCTTCTCAACAGTCTTCACAAGAGATTCGATTGCAGACAGTGCCTCGTTTGGTGCTTGCGGTGGTAGCTCCAATGACGCTGCACGCGCCGTCGCCAACTGCCACCTCCTAAGAGTCGTGAGAATTCCTCGTCCATTTGCCGCCGACGGAAGAGAACGCAGAAACTTCTGCAACGATGTGATCTCTTCCCTTCCTCCTGGAGCCACGGTCTCATGAAGGGACTCTAGGAGCAGTACCGACCTCACTACAGGACCATCCTGTCGCTCAAGGACTGGTTGTCTCACCTTGACAGGCAACACCTTCAATAAGGTCAGCGACAAACGAACCTCGCAATCACCCATTCCCTTTGGAACATCCGGTATCGGGGACTCACATGCTGTCACCTGTCTCTGTTTGTATCTCTCGGCTGCCTGTGCGAACACCTGCTCGAAATAGGTTCCGAAGTCTCGATGGATGGCACTCAACACTGTCGTTGTCTCAGCCTTCCACTGGTTGACCTTCATCCCGATTTCCCAACATTCGCCCTTCTGAATGTCCAGCTTTGGACAATCCTTCAGCAGTTTGAAAGCGGCATGTGGAACTTTATCAGATGTTGCTTGCGTGCTTTTGGGTGACCCCTGGATCTGTCTTAAGTTCGAGGGTATTGGTGGGGGCGGCTGCGACGGTGCGAAACTCAAACCTGGAGGTTGTGTCCACGACGATAGCGGTTTATCGTCATGGGCGTCCCACCACTCATCAGCAGCATCTGCTGCGTTGACCTCGTGTTGGACACCTGGAGTGCCAATGATGTGATGAACAGGTCCTGCATTCTCAATCAAAGGACTTTGAGCCTGCTCGGTCTTTCGAGATGCCGTGAACTGTTGAGCCGCCTTGTCATCGCCAAGGTGCTTCATCAGCACGGCCATGTTTGTCTCCAGCTCTCCACAGCGCCTTTGAAGCTTGGTGGTAATCTCCAGCCTATCAAGAGCTCTGTTCAGCCGGGCATCGCGATCAACAGTAGCATGCACATGAGATTCAAGATGCTCCATCGTTTTGTCAAGATCCCGTCGTACATCCTGCATCTGCTGAATAATTTGAGCACCATCACTCTTAGTCAAAACGTCTGCCTGACATAAGGCATCTAGGCGCTCTCTCTGCTCCGTCGTAAGGGGCGCATGACTGGCTTCATCGAGCAGTGCATGTACTCCTGCGACTTCTTCACTCATTGCTTTTGCGCGCTCTGCGTGAGCTTGTTCGGATGCGTCCACCCGTGCCCACTGTGATTGCAAGTCATGAACAGCTTGAGCTAACGTGTTCACCTTCGTGCTCATGTCAGCTTCAAACGTGGCTTGCGCTCTGCTTTCATGCTTAATTGCCGCTTCCAACTGACCCACACGAGTCATGAGCTCCTTGAACTGGCCATCGGCCCGCTTCCACAGAGTCTCGCTGTCTTGCATGGACTGGCCTACTGCTCCCAAATGCTGTCGAGTGGCATCTGTCTCCCCCATGATGGAAGAAACCCATGCTGCCAAGCGTTCTGTCCGAAACTGCATGTCACCGTTCAGATCATCGAGCCTCCTCTGCGCATCCTCTAAAGAAGATAAGGCAGAAAGGGTATTCGTTCTGTCTGATCTCAACATATGCAGAAACTCTTCTGGCGCTTGCACTTGCAACATCTGCTGTAGCTGTAGCCCTGATGGAAGAGACATTGCCGTTGCGAACCGCAGATGAAAGCCTTGCTCAATGGCTGATTCTGCATGCGCTTCAGCGTTTGGGCGTGTCATAACCTGTGTTTGCGGACTGCTATCGGTAACGATGCTAAACGCCGGTGACTGCTGCTGTTGTTGCTGCTGTTGCTGCAACGCCTGTCTTATCTGATACGGTACATCATCATAATCACTAGGCATCACCGCTACTTCCGATCACCATCTGCAAATCAAGCTCCGAAGGACCCTGAAAGGTCCGGGACTAGGGTACCGGGTGCCCTGAACACCACCACCACAAACCCAGACCCAGCTTCCAAGCTGAGGCCCTTGCCAGAACTCGGTACACTTCTCGATTTGTGCACCATTGCTTGAGCCACGTCGATGGTGGCACTGGATAGTGCGAATGAGTCTGTTCAGACTCCGCGAAGCAATGCTTACATATGCATGCATGACAAGTCACTACCAAACACAGATGCTTTCTCGGTAGTCGTCTTGTGCCTTCTTCGGCTAAGGTCTTGGAACCCCAGCTGGACGGTAGAGAAGATACTCATTGGCTTAATGAGCTTCATGTACGAGGACTGCTGCAGTGCAGCTTGCTTCTACTTTGGCACTTGCACCCATGCTTTGTGTTGACCTCCATCTGGTCTCAACATGAGTCAGTACAGAGCATCTGCTGGATAAGAAACGCTGTCACATCCAGGAAGTCCCAATTTACATGTCTTGCTCATTTCCTAGCCGCGTTGGGGCCCATGCCGGGCCTGCTGTGGGAGTTACCTGCGTTTGCCCCGGCATTGTTTCGGGTGCTGCACTTGCAACAGGAAATGTAGCTCCGAATTTGCTTGTCTTGGAAGTTTGGGAGACCTGGCAGCTTGTCTTGTTTCTCATGTTACTAGGCCTTGCATACCGCCACACCCTGGCCTCTTGACCCTTGGATCACGGGCCCCAGGCCCACCAAGACAGGCTTCTAACCCCTCCTCTATATAAGGACGATGATGGAACCACGACGCTTGTACTACTGCTGCTGCGGGGACGACGAGGAGACGACGACGCGACAACTGCTACTGGTGCTGCTGCCATCACCGCCACCCCACCGCCACCATGCATACAAAAATCCCAACTGTCTTGTTTCCAGACGTGGTGCGAGTGATCATCCGCTTGTTCACCTGTGGAACAACCCTGCCTCCAGCGATTGCTGTTGTTCGGTTTGCTATCGTATTTCTGGCTTGAGTGGTTCTACGCTTCTATTCACAGGATCTTCATTTTTTGTGCTCTGCTTTGGTTGGCCATGACGAGTAGTCTTATGTGAGTTGGGAGTCGTTCTGACTTTTGTCCTCTTTGCTGCTCACAGATGCTCTGAGAGGAGAACTCCGTCTCCATCGGTTCTATATTGGAGCCTAGAGAGGATCGGCGGAGGTATGCTGCAGCATCAGCTTACTTCAACGCTCGGAGCCTAGCCAGGGGTCGACCTTCGGTTCTTTCTGCTCCACACCGACAGTTCGATGCCCATTTCCAAGTTTTCGAGGCGCAGAATGAGATTTATGTGCAGCTGTTCCAAACGCCTGACGAAGCAGAGGAGGCTTCGAACTACTTGCATGGGAAACGCGCTGCGCCTGAGTATGGCCGTCAGGAGGACAACATCCGGAAGCTGCGCCGCGTTGCCGAGGGTGAGGTCTCAGAAGCTGATAAGGACCGTGGCTGGCATGAGAACTGTCATTGTTAGTGATCAAAACATGCTTTTGGGGTTTGTTCCGTTGTGACTATGATGCGGAACCCTGAGGAATAGTGTGGGTAATTATTCAGCCTTCTGTTGTTCACCTTCCTGGAATGGCCCAAAGCCCAACGTCAGCCTTGTTGCCCTAAACCCGAAACAGTGCACACAGGCATGCCGCTACTGCCTGGTGGAATCTGGCGAGTTAGTGGCCCCATGCGAATCTGGGTTCTCGTTGGGAAGTTGTTTTAAGTCACCACTATACGGTTTGGGTAGAAGGGTTTTCGGTTTAGGGTTGGGGTTTAGGGTTTACTATAGGGATCTAAAGTAGGTGCTGGTATTATGGTTTCGTGTTTATGGTAACTTAGCCGAAGTTCCAAGAGAGCAGGAATGCAAGGGCAGCGGCCAATGGGTGCACCTCAGCTGCTTGCGGCAGTGGCAGAAGTCAGTGCTTCTGACGCAGTCCACGCATCCGAAGTACCAGACCCGCATCGACGAAATCTGCATCTCTGTGGCATTCCCGGTTGCTTCAGGCTTCGTTTCTGACAGTTTCGGTCCGGCTTTTGCTGCTGTCCGCTTGGGATTGAAATTGAAGATGAAGAGCGCGGATACAACGGAATACAGTGAGGTATTCGGGAGGGCGCTGGAGCTTTCGATTTCGGCGTTTGAGTACCATGGCAGTTATCAGCCGGCCTGACGCTGTCGGTTGTCGAAAGTGGCAGAGCCACCTTGCAAGTACGGGCGCCGAAACGGCACACAAAACGAACGCGAACCTAAATTTCTGGCCACGACGTTAACAAGCACAGGAAGGACTTTCGATCTTGTGCGGATTGATGTTCAGCGTGTGCTTCCTGCTTGCTGCGGCACGTGCTGGCGCTGTGTGCGTCCATATGTGTCCGGCCGATTCTTTGGTGTGTCTCTTCATCTCCTTTGCGTTCATTTGCCCAACGGCCTGCGGCCTCGTGTTCTTTCTCGGGAACTTTCGGGTGCTTCAGTGCTGGCATTCTGTCCTGCTGTCGTTATCTGCCCGACAATGCTGATGCGAACCACGTAGACCCAGCGCAGGCTATCTCGAAGCTCGGCATTGCCCCATCAAAGTCTTGCAAGAAGCATCGCCTAAAGCCCGGCTTGCGAGTGCTCGCGCTCGACGATCCTACCAGGCAACGTCTGCGAGCGGCCCTTCAAGGAAGCCTACAAGCCCAGGAGTCGGCGAGAGGCGCAGAAGCGACTGAAAAGGTTCAGAGCAATGTGATGGTACCGGTCAGGGCCGCTTTTTCTGGATTCTAGCCGAGGCTTGGGAGGTAGGAGGGGTCGGGGCAGATCTCACATGACGGTGCTTAATTGGCTTGCGGCAGTGGTCCATGAGTGCCATCTTCATTATCTCCATCAGTGCTAGTACCGTGTGGGACTGTTTTTGTAGCGGTTTCTTCTTCATCCTCTTCTTCTGCCTCTTCCGCTTCTTCCTCTTCTTCTTATCTATTGTCGTTGTTGTTGGTTGTTGTTGCTGCTGCGAGTGCATGGAATGGCTGGCAAGCCTTTGGCCATTCTGTCGAGAGGCGCTTCTGGAGTACACGGGGGAGGCCGGGCAAAGCTTACCTGGAGTTGCAGTATGGCGGGGAGTTGCAATGATGCCTGAAATCTAAACCCGAAGCCCTCAACTCCAATCCCCAAAGCCGTGACCGTGGGCTCACTACTTGCAGTTGCAGCTAAATTGAGATTTACCTGCTTCACCGAGAATGGGAAGAAGTACCCTTCGTGTGCACTGCTTCCAGGAGCTTCCCCAGCTCATCCAGAAAGGAAACCTTTTGGCGTCGCTTCGGATTATTTAATGCCCTGAAGCTGTTGACGCTGTTCTGGTCGAAGCCGAGAGGCCTGAGAAGTCACGTCTAGGGCTGTGACGGATGTCTGCTGTAGGGTTCAAGGGCACTGAGCCCCAAATCAACGAGCACTTCTGGTCTGGCTGATGTTATCTTCCAAAGTTGCGGGGAGAAGCCTACTGCAGAGAACTGCGTGGATTCAACCATCTCCCAGGCTTGTTGTCCGGGCCCCATGCACGAGGATTCTCATAACACAGACCTAAAGCCTAAAGTCGTCATCCAGACCCAAAGCTGTTTTTTCGATGTTTAAACACACCCTGCCATTTTGGCTCAAGCATCTGAACATTGTTTTGATGCTACTGCTCTGAAATCAAGAGCCCTATGTGAGAGTTGCTGCAAGAATAATTGAGAAAAATGAAGTCGGCTTGCGGGGACACCGGGAAAGGCGGTAAGACCTGGAAGGTCCGACAAGCGACGTCCAAGGCGACAAGGAATTCAGAAGGTGAGGAAACGACTGTCGTATTGACGGGTCTTCCGAAGACTCTGAAGGCAGAGGTTCTCCTGGCTTTGCTACATGAACGCTTCCCCTGCGCATATGACTACTTCTATTTGCCCATGGACATCGACAAATTCGAGAACCGAGGCATAGCTTACGTTAATTTTCGAAGCCATGAAACAGCTGTCCTTTGCCAGAGCCACTTCGATGGCACCGACGACTGGGAAGGACACACAAGCGAGCGTCCTTGCAAAACAGAGTGGTCCTCCATCCAGGGCTATGCTGCAAACATTCAGCGGCAACAGAGATCGGCGTGGCTCACCACTACCATCCCGGAGGGCTGCAAGCCGATGGCCTTTGATGAAGATGGAATGCGTCTGCCAACTTCGGACATTTTTCCGGCATCACTGACTGACACTGGAAAGGATAGCAGGTCTTGGCGGACTGTGGGCTTCGACAACAAAGACGAGGCCAGCAATTGGTGGAAGGACCAGTGGTATGGTGCCAGTTCATCTGACAAACATGTTGGAAAGAAGCGGAACTCGCGGGGATGGTGTGACTCCTGGTCTCGGAAAGACGATGTCTGGCGTGAGCGCGGCTCCAGATCCGAATGGAACGATGAGGGCGAGTGGAGGGACTGGACAAGATGGGATGATGATCGGGGTGATGGTGATGCTGCATTCTCCGACGCAAGGGCAAGACATCGGATCTGGCGCACCAGCAATCGGCTTCCAGATGAGTACGGCCCGGCGAGCCGGGACGGTGCCAATTTTGAGCATGGAATGACAGGTGAAAAGAAGGAGGAGGAGTTTATGCCGTGGCAGCGTCGAGAAGAGGAGAAGGAGAACGAGGCTGGCAACGATGACAATCTGACTTTGAAGGTGTCCATATTAAGATATCAGCCGCCACTGGCGAGTTTGCTGGGCATACCCGGCAACGAACACACGGAGTTACGAAAGTCTGCGGAAGTCGTGTTTTCTGCAAAGTATGCGTGCCCGCACTGTGGTGCGGTGTTCATGAAGTGGTCTGCATGCATGCACCATATTGTGACTGATTCACCTACTTGCCAGATGCACATACTGCCTGATGGCAAACTGCCTGCCGATATGACTGAGTTCCAAGAGAAATGCAAGACAACATTCACAGAAATGCCAATGGATGTGATCAGGAGCAAGCCTGATGCAGACGCATCAATCGAGCAGCGTCACTTTCAAGTTCAATTTCAATAGGCCGGAAAAGGAGAGGGGCTCCTGGGAAAACTCAGAAAAGTGAGCAAGCTTCGGGCTAAGGGTGTAGCGCTTCGAGCCACCCAAGCGCTTTTCGCCGGAAGAGCTGGCCGAAGAGTCACCGACCCAAAGTCTGACACAGTGTCTACATGGATTCTCAAGTCGCTGCCTTCGCAAAGAAAGCTGAGACCGTCTGTCATCCTTCCACGCCTGCTTTAAGCGAGTCTGCGAGTCCAAACCACCTCAAGCCCTAACCAAGGAGCTCCCGGCCCAAATCCGAGAAGAACGGAGAGCTGATGCGCCAGCAACCTGGAGCCTTCGCCGCGAGGCTCCGGCGGGATTGCATGGGTTCGCCCAGGCGCGCCCTAAACCCGAGCTTAGATATGGGTTGCAGGTATCTAGGGCCTATATCGACTTCAGGATCTGCACGAGGGTTTGGGCGGGTCTTCGTCGGTGCAGTGATCGTGGTGGTGGTGGTCGTGGTCGTGGTACTATTGGTAGTAGTCGTCGTCGTATGGTACTGGTACTGGTAAATGGTAGTGGTAGTGGTAGAAGTACCTGGTGGTGCTCGTGGTGGTGCTGGCGGTGTTGTTGTTGTGGTTGCTGCTGTCTGTGGTTGGCGGTTTCCTAGCACGACTAAAGACTAAATGCGACATCAGCCAATATACTAGTAGTGCTAGTATCCATGACACAGATCAAGACTTCAGTTCTCTGCGTTAGAAACTGTGTACCCTCAACCCAGCGCCAATGAAAAGCATGACTCAATGTCTACTCTCTGGGACTCTCTCGTCTTCCTCACCAGTCGGAAGAGAGCATGTCTTTTAGCAATCTTTATTTTCCTGCTGTTAAAATCCATTGTTTTCAATGTGGCTATGTTTGTGTCAAGTCCCGCTTTCAAGGCTCGGGCACTTCACCGAAGCAGTGTACCTGATCGCTTTGCCATGGCCCAAGTCTTGAGCCAGCGTGCGTGCGGTAATCCACTATAGCATGCTATAAGATTCTTTTACAATATAGTATAATAGTAACATAACGGAATTTAATATAGTATACTACTATAAGTTAGCACAAGATGTACCAAAAAAAGATCGTCTAGCCAGGCTTAATTTATCACCGAGATACCCGCATCACCTTTTTTTGCATCCAGGCAAGTTGCCGCCTGCCACACAAAGTATACCCCAAGCCAAAATGAATCCGAACTCCGAATCCCTGTGCATACGGCATGTCCGAGGATTGCGGTTTTCGGGAGTCGGTGCTGAGACTAAGGAGAAGTGGAACAACAAGAACTAGCACGACCAGTGCAACTGTGTAGCGACGTCTGCTTTCCCCCCCGTAGTGCGACTTTAATTCTTTTTCGATAAGCGTGCCTTTGGTGCATCTTCAGAGCCGTTGGGGGGAGCCGAAAAGAGAGCCAGAGGTGCGAGCCCTACAACCCCAACAAGAAAGGGGGAGGAGCTGTGCAGGCCTCAGCTATTCCAGGGATTGAGACCCCAGGGCCGAGAACCCGGGGTCCTCTTCCGTAAACTTGTGAAGGATTTCAGGTTTGAGGTCTCAGTCATATTAGTTCATTGCTTTCAAGACGTTATGGCCAAGAAGCTGTAGTCTGAAAGATCGCGAGGTTTACAGGAGCAATTGATGATGACGATGGTGGTGATGATATTAACGGCAGTGCTCTCGTCGTGACATGAGGATTCCCCGAAAATGTCTTGGACGAAGTTGGGCGACAGATTCTTGCCACGAACACAGGCACCACACACGCATACGCAAATTTGGAGGTTGCACCAGTCACTGCGTATAGTGCGGAAGTCGCACAGTGATTGTGCAGCCAACTCAAGCATGGAGACACATCTGTCTCAGATCCGTACGCCAAGGGTCAGTGGTTAGCAACACATTGGAAACTCCGAGCTTCACGGATGTAATGTTTCCCGTTGAAAAGCGAACTGTTTCGTCTCTGATGTCTCTGTCGGCGGCCGCCGGTTGATTCTAGTATTTCCAGTATTGCAAGACGAGTTGTGGAGATTTGTGGGGCACTTTCTTGGCTTCATGGTTTTGGGTTAGTTCATCAATTTCAAGCGGGAGGAGATTGAGAATCTGCCAGCTAGCCGGCCGGCTCAAGCAGCAGTTTTCGCTGAAGTTGGTGACTGCCGTGGTGTTGGTCCTTGCTGCAGCTGGGGGTGCTTTTGCCTTGTGCATCCGCGGAGGTGACAGTCACATGAGGCCAACCGGCTGAAGGCAGGGACAGTTCTGCAGTCCCAGGCAATCTCAAACGTGTTCAGCTGATCGCGGTGACCAACGGTGCATTTGCCGCAGTGCTGGAAGATGGATCTGTTATGATGTGGGGCAGCTCCAGAGGTGGGTCCTGATAGGGAAAAAGTCCAACATTAGCTCTGCGTTGCCTCCGCCGTCCCGGCTTGTTTTGCGGAGAAGTTGGCCTGCGTGGCATTGTGCTGAGCAGCAGGCTCTGCGCATGTTTGTGGCCCACAACTCGGGAGAATGACAACGGCAATTCCTGATCGCGAGCGCGGGACCACGGGTCGATTTGTACGGGACAAATCGAGCTGGCCACCTTAACCACTGTGCCAGCCCGAGGCAGGATCTCGCAGCAATCTGTACATGGTGTTGACACCGATATGGAGTACTCGGAACCCTCGAAGTGGGACTTGTTGCGTGACTGTGGTTCTAACGGGCTAGCTCCGTCCTCTTTTTGGTAGTTGATTCCATTCGTGGGCATTCCGCGATTTTGCATTTCAGGTTCTGCTCTCTGGCAGGCCACGGGCAGCTCAAGGCGACACGGAATATGCCACCAGAAGGTCTGGGGCAGTCGGAACTCCGGGGCTAGTAAGTGCGCTTCAAACCGCCGGAGCGGGGTGACCGCCCATTTCGGGCTCATGAGTCCGGCACCGGGTTGGTACTTTGGGCTGTCGGGCAGTCGGATTTTCGTTCTGCGTCCTGGTTCCCGGCAATACCGTCGAAACGTCCGGGAAGACGGACCCATCACCACGTGGGGGTCAGAGTTGGACGGGCTGACTATTATGCTGTCCGAGATCAGCTGAAAGGCGTGCAGAAGCTCTGGTCCTGCGGCAGCGCGTGTGCTGCAATGCTGGAAGATGGATCTGTTGTCAAGTGGGCTCAGACATGGGTGGTGACAGCTCTGCAATCCAAGCTCAGCTCAAGAAGGTGCAGCACGCTCAGGTTCGCCGCAATTCTGGAAGATAGAACTGTGGTGAGATGGGGCCATCCTGCCTTCGGCGTTGAAAGTTGTGCGCTTCAGCATGAGCTCCGGAATGTACCGCGCCTAAAGGCTTGCTATCACGCGTTTGTGGCCACACTAGCAAAAGGTGAAATCGTTACCTGGAATGAATCAGATTCCGGTGGTGGCTCGTCTCAGGTCGAAGAGCAGTGTCTGATCATGTAAAACGTGGCCAGTTGTGATGAATGCAACGGCTCGATTCTTGAAGAGGTTTCTTCTTCACCGTGGCTTCTTTCCTTCACAGAGTCATGCGAAAAGAGAGCGCTAAGCGCCATTTTGCATGGTTGGCCCTTCAGACCAGCATGTTTGTCCAAAGGTCGGGTAAAAAAAGAGTACCTGCCCGGGGAGAGCGAACCTTGAAGCATGAGCAGTCTGCCTGCGAATCTATCGAGCCTCCCACGGAGTGCCTGAGAATCTACAGGTTCTATCGAGCCCCAAATCGATGCCCATACTAGTCACTAGTCCTGAGGGTTTCTTCATCATACCATAACACCCAAACCCTGCCCAAACCCTACGCCAGTTTTATTGAGGCCCCTACATGACTTGTAACCTTCAGCCCTGACCGTACATAAGGTTCTGGGAGTCAACCTGGTGCAAAAAGTTCCAAGTCCTCTGGAGCGCACCACTCGGCCTGTTCTACAGCAAGGCCCCGATGTCGAGGCAGGGTTTTCGTGATGTCACTTGGTAAGACGAGCTGGTGGTGCATGGAAGCCCTGGACCGTAGACCCCAAGCCCTTCTTGCGATGCAGGCTTGTCTTAGCTAGGTGAGAAAAAAGACACTTCTTCAATCCTAAAATGAATCTAAACCCCAGAGTTCATCAGAACCTTTCCATCACATTACTGATTGCAGTACGTCGGTAGTCTGTCTGTAGAGCCGCACGCCCATGTTATGTCGAAGGCCTGGCAACCCAAACTAAGGCCGTGAGTCTGGGTCGAAACCCTGTACGGGGCACCTTGTTTTAAAAATTTAGGTTTAGTGTTCAACGGCAAGCGCGAGTGAGGGGGTGTACTCTAGCTGACATCTGAAGTGAAGGGGAAGCATTCCATGGAGGTTTCCCACCAGGACACTGGCCTGCCTGCATGTTTCTCCAGCTTAGACCTGACTTGACAATTACAGCTGGTACGACCGTTCATGACACCGGCATGAGGCAACCTGATCATGGAAGGGCTGACAGGTGGCTTTCGCAAGCTTGTCGCAGTTGAAGCGGATGCCGTCAAGGAATGCTGGAGCCCCAAACAGACTTTGAAACCCCAAAAACCCTAAGCTTCGTGCGCCTCGCCTGGATTGTCCGAGTGTGAGCGCCGAAACCCAAAGTTCCAAACCCGGGCTCCCCGGCAAGCTCCCGTCAGGTCACGACCTACCCGCTGAGGGAATGGCAATCGAGCTACGCTCCCTTGGTCCAGGCGATGGGCTCCGAAAGCAAAACCGCCAATACAGAGTTCGTGGACAAGATCCTACACCATAAGCCGTAAGCTCAGGAAACCTCAAAAAAAGATAGCTTGCACAACAGAGATCTCAGTGAGAGCGACAGCCCGTTATGATAGGTACATTTCTTAGGGAGGGGCTGTCTATGCTCTCGGTAGTATGTTTCACATGTTAGCGGACCTCCAACCAATTGTCTCGCCTGGATTGTCCGAGTGTGAGCGCCGAAACACATCTCCGAGAGTGGACTCCAAAACCCCTAAGTTGGGATACGTTGCCCGAATCCGTGCCCGCCTTGAGCGAGTGTGCGAGTCGTAAGCCCATTTAGCCCAGAAGCCCGTCAACTTTTCAGCCCATAAGCCCTAAACCCTAAACACCCCTAAACCCTAAACCCCTGAGTGTGAGCGGCGAAACCAAAAACACCAAAAACACCCATAAGCCCAAACCCCCAAAGCAGGTCCTACAGGCCGCCAGGGTGCTGGCCCCCCGGTCAGTGGAGCATTTTCTTGGTGGGCCGGTGGAGCCTTCGGAGGCCAGTAGAGGGCTCAGAATTTGAGGGTTTCGGGTTTAGGGTTTAGAGTTTACGTGTGCAGCCCGGCGCGAGTCAGTCAGCTGTTCTGGCGTGACCTTGCAAGCCAGTTGCAAAAGGTTCAGGGTTTAGGTTTAGGGTTTAGGGTTTTAGGTGCGTTCCGAGCGAGAGAACCCTGCTGCAAAAGGGTTCAGGTGTGTAGGGATGACAGCCGAGAGCAGGTGCAGCAGATCTTGCGATTCCACGCAAAAAGCAGTTTAGGTTCTGGGGGTTTAGGGGTTGGGGCTGGGTTTTAGGGTTTTGGGTTTGGTCTTTCTTGGGTGTTTCTGTTAGGTCTTCATAATACCTCGAGGCTGTACAGCTGTCCTTTTAACAACTTTTCAATGGAGTCCTTTACTACGCACCGGGTCTCTGGGCGCCCACTACCCAGAGCAAAGTCGTTGTGACATGGTAGTGTGCGAAGCACTGTAAATTGCCGTAACTTTGTAGTTTTCAAGAAACATGTATGCAGTACGGCCAAAAGCTTGTAAGGGACAAACTAAGTAGTTTTGATGTAGTTGAAAGCCTTCGCAGTTGAGCTGAGAAGCCGAAAGTAGTGTAAATACTAGTAAATTATGTGTAGTCATGACAATTTTTGGCATGAACGGTTTTTGGGTAAATGGCGCAGGTATTTTTGGCGGGATTCGTTGCTGAGAAACCTTGTCGTTTTCAGAACATGCTCGTACGTAATTAGAAGTCGCAGGCCTAACTCCTGTAAAGAAGTAGCTCCACCCGACATGCATGTATGATCATGTATGTATATATATATATATATACATATGATATTCACAGAGGAACTACAGCTCTAGTCACAGGTGTGTACGTGCATGTACTCATACGTCTTATGCTTGCTACCGAAATAAGCGTATGCAGCATTAAGCCTTTCTCAGCTCCTTCACGTCTCTCTCTCTCTCTCTCTCTCTCTCTCTCTCTCAGGGCTTTGGGTTTGTGGGTTGATTTGAGAAGCTATTGAGAAAGCTGTGGGAAACCTTTGGGAAACTTGTGAGAAAGTTCTGAGAAACCTGCGAGAAACCTGCGAGAAAGCTGTGAGAAACCTGTGAGAAACCTGTGAGAAAGCTGTGAGAAACCTGTGAGAAATTTGTGAGAAGCCTTCAGAAACACGTGAGAAGCTATTGAGAAAGCTGCCGGAAACCCGCGAGAAAGTTCTGAGAACCTGTGAGAAAGCTTTGAAAAACCTGTGAAAAAGCTTTGAGAAACCTGTGAGAAAGCTCTGAGGAAGCTGTGATTAACTTGTGAGAAATCTGTGAGAAGCCCTTGAGCAACATTTGAGAAGCGATTGAGAAATCTGTGAGAAAGTGTGTTGAAACCTCTGCGAAACCTGTGAGAAAGCTGTGAGAAAGCTGTAAGAAACCAGTGAGAAACCTCTGAGAAAGCTGTGAGAACATCTCTGAGAAACCTTCCTCACTTAGACAAGAGTATGGGCAGATTAAATTGGCCCGTGGGCAGTCTGCTTCCAGCAACTGGTGTGGCAAAGTCCAGTTTCAGCAGAGATCAAAGTTCACGGCTGTGCTGAAGTGAAAGAAGCCCAGAGTGTGAGCTGTGATTTCTGCAGCAAAGCACGTTATTAACCCCCCCACCCCCCCCACTCCCCCAGCTACAAGAATCGATGAATCTGTCGGGACGCCGAGTGGGCCCAGTCTCTTTTACTAGTACAGGTACATGGAATTTCATAGCTTTGCAAATCAAGCTTTTTACGAGTGCTGTGTTTGTCATGATGGGTTTGAGGAACCCAAAAAGTTAAGCTGCTGCAGCCAGGGAGGAAATTTATTTATGACACATCTGCTGTACCTTTGCTCAAGTTCTTTAGCAACAGTTCAGGGTCGCGGCATCGACATATCTCCGGATGTTGGAACTGGGTCTGTGGGACAAGAGGGGGGCAAGGACACGCGCAGGTGAAGCGGTGCCGAGTCCCACATCCTCTAGGCCAGGAAGTTCAGCCCGGCAGCAAGGAATGAAGCCAGGAATGAACGAAAGGAGCGAGGAATGAACGAAGGAGGGGGGAACTGCACTGCAGGAAGAAGGGCACGAAGGAAACAAGAAGGGAGGAGCGATGAGGGTTGCTGTCCTGTATGCAAGCTGTCCCCGGCTTCCAAATTGCAACCGTGCGGCCGGAGAAACGCTTCAACTTGTCTTGGACTGTCACGTTCACACTGCACTTGTCCATTTGTGACTTAAGTTTTGGTCTTGAGAAGCCATGCCGTCATTGTATCCGTGCTGGCTACCGGATCCGTGCTGGTTGCCAGTAGTGACGGAAGTGTTCTTTTCATCCTTGGTCTTCCGTCGCAGGCCCATGAATCTCGCACTTCACCACTACGTCCTTTACTCGTATCCCCTTTCTGCTCATCCCAGGAGCTAGTGGGCAGCAGTGGAAGTGGACCATGTAGTGCTACTTCATGAAGCGACAGTTTGTGGCTGGGATAGAGCCACGCTCGCGTCTGATGACAACAAATGAAAAGTTAAATCTAAATGTCGGGAGATGTGGCTCTCACCGTGGGCTCCGTGGGCGATGCAACGGTAAGATCTGGATTGAGCAGTGCAGAGGTATCCCGCTTTCTTGTCCCTCCGTACATACTGGGAGTGATGAAGACGGGAACTCCGTACAGACATAGAATTTTCTGTTTATTTTGTAATGCATCCTATCGGGGAGGTGGCCCTTTCCTGCAGCCCTTCCTTTACCTCGGCCCCTGGCGGCCCTAGCAGGCCTTTGCTTTGGTGGAGATACCCACGGAAGTGCTCGATGCAGTACCTTGTCGGGGCTCAATGACTTTGTCCGACTTCGCTGTTGCAAGCCAGACGGTGTCAAGCCGAGCATTCTGCGTCGGGTTCAGCTGAGGCAAAGCGCGCGTCAAGCAACTTCGCTGTTGACCCTGGGATGCGGCGACAGCTGGCGAGCTGCTTCGAGCTTTTGCCGCCTGCCACCAATTTGTGATCAGCACGCATGCCTACCTCCACATGGGAGTTTCCGAAAATGGGGGACCCTGGTATAGTACGCTAAATAGTAGGCTCCTTATTATATGGACCCCAAAATAAGGTACCCCCAATTTTAAAATATGCGTTGGAAGTGTTTGCTATCATGGGAACCTCTGACTGCAGGAAGATTAGGAACTAGATGTGTTTGAGGTCTCCTCAGCGAATTGCGCAGCTCTCACGGCTCAGGGTCAAAGGCAGCCACTTGGACTGACAGCTTCACGCAGTCGTGCCGATGACAAAAGCCTGTACCGAAGAAGCCGAGGCATTTATTTCGGCATCTTGGTCTGCATTGGACTCCGCCTGAGATTTAGCCGAGCACATGCGCTTTCCAGCATGAGGAGAACTTGGAGTGATCTTGGGACTGTTGGCCAGCATCTTTGTCCAAGTCGGCGCCGGCGATGGCTACTTGCTCCTAGGCTCGCACTTCTTTACGTCTCCGCGCGCTCGATGCAGCCAGGAACCCAAGTTCCCTTCAACTTCCCACTTCGCCTCGGATTAATGAGCGAGTACTTTATAAGGTCCCTAAAAGGGACCTTAATTGGGGTTAGGATAACTAGTTACTAAGTCCCCAAACCCTAAACGATCATCCTGACGGACCGGCGTTGTTCTGCTACTCCTTTGCCACTTTGCACGCGTCCTTCGCAGCGTCCTATGCGCGACTTCCCGCTTTTCTTGTCGTTCTGCAAGTGCAGAGTCCCCTGTTCGGTGCAAATCCCAAAGAAGTGAGGGGGATGGGGATCCGGGATCAGCACATTTCCGATGACCCTAAACGCTAAGTCTTATGTCTGAGGCTGGGCGATGCTCCTCTCAAGGTCTTCTGGGGCTACGCCTCCTGGAACGCGACGCAGCTGCTCGGAGAGATTGCCCGCCGCGGCTGGGGCCTCGTGGCCGCTGGGCGCATTATACTATAACTGTAACATTGGTTCTACACTACTCTTTTCTATACTATACCATACTAAACCATAGCATACGATACGATGCTTGACTATGCTGCATACTACTATACTCTTCGACAAGGCCTGTGCACCTGGGGTTCTGCAGTCCATAAAGAGCTAGTTGTGTGCATCATGGTGCGGTTTGAGGGACCCTAAACCCTAGCCTAAACCCTAAACCCAAAACCCTAAACCCTAAACCCTAAACCCTAAACCCCCAGTTCGAGGTCACCGATGCCAACATGTCGTTCGGAACCTGGGAGCAGACTGTGGCTTCGTGGAAAGTCGTGGTGGACAAGAGCATCGTTGCCCGTGAGAGCGAATACTCTAATTAGTGGGAGAATTATTATTATTATTATTAGTGGGAGAATTAGCTGCACAGTGCACGCAGTGCACGCCTTTACACAGCATGCACAGCATGACCCAGTATCGCGCGCAGCATGGGTCGAGAAGCCCAGCGGGCTTGGGCGTCCCTGAATGTTGTTCCCAGGCGAGAGATGTCGGCACCTGCAACTTGTGAGCAGCCCCAAGTCTTCGTAATTGATGGGTTGGCTGTTTATTATTGCATCATTATCATTCTTACATTGCTATCATGATTAATATTGCCATTATTATAATTGTTATGTTTATTATAGTATTATTATCATGATTACTATGATTGGTTTTAAAGAGGGTTTGCGATGTTGGCAGGAGCAGTGCTCGAATCACCCACTTGCCTGGAAGGCGTTCCAAAGCTCCGTAAGCAGGTGGAGTGTTGCGAGACAGTTTCCGGTGACGGATCCCACTCCATGTGACTTTACTTGGAGGTTCATGGGTAGTTATAAGTAGGCTATAAGTAGGGTAACCATGATTATAACCCATATTTAGGGGGCATATACCTTATGACCCCACTTATAACTACCCATGAACCTCCAAGTACTGCTTGCGATTGAACAGCCAAGCTTGGACATTCAGGAAGTGCCAAGCAACTTTGAACAGGGCGTGAGCCTCATTGCACCAGTTCTGGGACAGCCCAGCCAGACCCACCAGTGCTTGAAACCCTCGGTGAAGCTGCTAGGGCTAGGGAGGTGGAAGGGATCCGTTTGCGGTCTGTCCCAGGCTATATCTGTTTTCGTTTAACCGTTTGCCGCTGGCATTGCTAATGATCCCTGAGGCAGCCGTTTTCGCTTGTTGGCTGATGTTCCATCTTATACCGGCTCGCAAGTCTGAGCCACCCCTGTAGGATTTTCGAGGCTCACATCACTTACAGGAAAAGGCGGCGTGCGCACCCTCCGAAGCTCTTCGAGGTAGGAGGTTGGCCGACTTGAGCAAGCTTGCGTCCTCAGGGTGCATTTGCCCCACAACAAGACCCTAAGCTTGACTGCTTGTCCTTGCAACCTCGAGGCCAGCATCACCGTGACACGGCGGGCCCATGCATACTGCACTCTCTAGGAGCTGTGAGGGTTTGGGATTGATATTTTTGAGGGTCTAGGGTTTGGGGTTTCCGGTTGCGGGTTTACGGCGTTTGGGGTGTGGGTTTAGGGTTTTAGGGGTCCAGGCGTCCTTGCAAGCAAGCCTGCAGCAAAAAGGGTTATAAGGGTTTGGGGTTGGGGCATTAGAGTTCGTGTGTGGAGAATTTTTGAAAAATCACGGTCATCAGCCCCATCGCATAACCATAATGCCAAGGTGTGTCGTGGTGCTGAAAACGATTATCACTGCTTCTTTGCTATTCTTGCCTTTCTATGGCTCTGATCACAATCGCTCATGTCATCGCTATTGATCCTAGTTGTCTTTGACCTTGCTCTATGGTCATGATGATGGCCGACGGGTGGCGGTGATGATTATGACGTTTCCGATCGTGATTGCTAGCCTCCCCATGCTTCGCATGCTTCGCCTCTTCACTACTATGCTGCTCTGCCGAAGATGTGGTCGTTCAATTATTTTCTAGATGATCCTATATGATTACATGATGCTATATCATGCCTTTCAGTACTACATAACACTATTCTATTGTTTTAGCCTATGTCATTATACTATACCATACGATGGTATGGCAGGTTGAGCCTGCAGCCGAAAGACCACGGAGCCGCAGCAATAGCCCATGGCCCAGCCACACTTGGGGTGAGTGGCACACCCTCCCTGGATAGGGTAGGGTAGGGTGGGGTAGGGTAGGGTAGGGTAGTAGGGTCCTGCTCATCTACCCTCCCTGGATTAGAAGGTTGTTGTAGCCGCACACTACAGTCCTGCGGATCCCTTCAACCTCAGTCTCTCCTCAGACCTCGCCTGGTGTTGCCGAGTTTGAGGATCAATACCTTGTTTGAGGTCGGGATCTTTGTTGCTCCTAAACCCTAAACCCTGTTTAAGAGTGAAGACTTGCGCGGGGCCGGGCTTTGGGGCTAGAAGTCTTACGGCAGTTTGGGGCTTGGGGCTTCGAGGGCTTGTGTCTGCTTCGGCAGGGTTTAGGTTACGTGCGGGTCAGGGTTTCCGGGCTTGTTTGGGCTCAGGAGCCCAGATTTCGATGCTGATAGAGTCGCAGCTGTTCCTGCAATGCTGCAGGAACCGGTTGGGCGGTCCGAGTCTCCGGGACCTTCTTCCAAGGACCACCACGAGGCCAACAGTAAATCCCAAAGATGACCTTCATGGTCATTGTGACCACTACCGTCGTACTGGCGTCAGTGTTCATCAGCTTCTTTTGCCTCTTAGTGTTCCAAGATCGGCGCATAGGTGCAGCAATTCCCATCTCCAGAGCTGCGCGAGTTGGCCCCTGGTCAGCACTGGCCGGCGTTTGAACGCTACCGGCTTTAGGGCTTGGGATTTTTCCATGTTTGAGATTAAAGGGCCTGGGTTCGGAGTTTGAGGTTTGTGGTTTCTTTTCGGTTTGGGGCATTAACGGCTCAGGGTTCCAGGGTTGATTTTAGGGTGGTCGTTAGGGCAGCTTGGGAAGGTCAGTTTGGATCTTAAGGGTTCAGGTATTTCGGGTTCAATTCTTCCCGAAGTCTAGCATTGAAACGACGGGTTCAGGGCTTAGGGTTCAGTTGTTCCCGAAGTCTAGAACAGAAATGGGTTCCAATGCCACCTTCGGACTCCAAGCGGAATGAATCAGTCTGAACCCAACACCCCACATACTAGTATTTCCCTGATAGTAACCCGGGTGGTACCCTTGTGCAGGGCTGGTCGGCATCGTACCGATAGAGGATTTATCTCGAAGCCGAGCTCAGAACCCCACGGTTTGGGGTTTTGTCTGATCCGTTCCATCCGTTTGTCCAAAGCTGGCGCCCATCAACAACCCCCGGCCACACCAAGGTCCGCGCCACTTTCCGAGAGGTCAAGGCGGGAAGCTACATGAAGAGACTGAGGGCCTGTGTCAGTAAGTTCAGCTGTTTTCGAGCTCCTGCTGCCGAGGTCTTTGGCACAGAGCTTCTGCTAGGCATTGCCGGCAGCTCAAGGTTTCGTTGCGTTGCTGAGTACGTGACGGAAGCGTAGCAGCTTACAACAATAGCGGTAGGCAGCCAGAGCAGTAATAAGATTCAGTCATAGCAGGATACCGAGATCATAGCAAGACATTATGCCTCACAGCAATCGTAGCAGAAGCAGCAAAGCAGTTGCGACAACGGATGGAAAGAATCAGACCCTAACCACTGCATCGCGGCTGAAGTGTCACCCCAGATCATTGAAGCCTTGCTCCCTTCATGGTGGCATCAGTCTCCTGATTATTAACCCCCCTGCCGTGAACACGGGCAGGGCCTTCATGAAGGTGGGGGTTGGGCCGAACAACCCAGACCACGCAATAGAATAGGTGATCATCTTTAGTTGTTTGGGGGGGCGAAGTTGTTTGGGGGCCGGGGCTCTCAGTAGTTCGTACAGCAGTACAGTAGTACGGTAGTACAGTAGTAGTATAGTTACAGTATCATCACAATAGTACAGTAACAGTGTAGCAGTAGAAGAAGAAGTAGTAGTAGTAGTAGTAGTAGTAGTAGTAGTAGTAGTAGTACAAAACCAGAGTTTGGAGCTTTGGGCTGAAGCCCTGAAGGCTCTGGAGGCTTTAGGCTTCTACATAGAAGCCCATTTGGCTTTGAATACAGAAAGGGATTCTGGTTTGCTGTTCTGGAGTAGTAGGAATGCTTATTCACCTAACCCTAAAAAAATTAACACCGGGGCGGGTTTTAGGACTATCGAAGGGGGTTTATTATTGCGTGCAGGCCGAGTTTCGCTCTATTGAGGGGACTTTTTTTTACGTGCAGGCCGTGTTTCGCTCTATTGAGGGGACCTTTAATAATCACGAGCTCACATTAGCATCGGAGTTGTGTCGGAAGTTGCAGCTGGTGCCATAAGACATAATGTCAATGAGTGATCGTGCAGTGGTGGTCTTCATCGCCCTAGCAGCAGCAGCAGCAGCAGCAGTCTGGTGGTATGTGATGTGAGCGGCATTGACCGTCGTGTCGCGCGGCTCGAGGCCATTTGCGTTGCTGCTGCCTTGCAGAGGCATGCAGACTGCTTGGCACCGCTCCGTCTTTAACATATCCAGGAGTTTTCACCTTTGACACTTCAATACGAATGCCTTCAGCCATCCCTATCGACCATTCGAAGCCAACAAAACGGAACTATGGGTTGGTCCATGTGGTGCATGTTGAATGATGCTCCTTGTTGGGCACCCTCAGTAGCCAGTCGGCAGGGGCCCAGCTGTTAAGTTGGTCTTGTGGAGGAGAAAGCTAGCATCGACAACCGCAGCAGTCGGCAGAACAAAGAGGGTCCATCATCAGTCACGCAATCACCGGAGTAAACCAATCCTGAAGACATCGCAGTTGAACTGCAAAAGAATGGTGCGACAAGGGAGACTACAGACACACAGGACTAAGAAGCAACTTTCCATTGTCAGCGGTTGTAAGCGTGGTGAGACTGTATGTCCTACTTGAAGTCAGAGCATCTCGACGCATTATGCTCCCGCATCGGTGCATCAGTGGCCCAAGGTATATTTCATTAGAGGGCCTAGGATCAAGTTGCAAGGAATGATTTTCGGATTCCATCCTACCAAGGATCAATCTCACAGCCGGCGCTCAAAGCATGGTTGACTTACTGGGATGTGCTGCTTTTCCCTCGACACCCAACTTGACATATGAGGGGCTGAGCTCGAAGTCCGTGAGCCCCTGAATCTCCGGCCCTCGCGCCAAGACCTCGGACTCCGCAGTCCCGGTCCCTAAACCCCAAACCCGGAAAAAACCCTAAACCCTACCTTCGACACCCTCGTTCGCACTGTCCGCACGATGGGGGCGGCGCTGCCGAAGGCTTGTGCCGCTCGGTTCAAAACAGGGGGGGTTCTGGGGTTTCGGGTTTAGGGTTTCGGGTTAGGGTTTAAAGGTTTGCTCACTATCCCATGGAGCAGAAGCATCAGTCGACCGCTCGAAGAACTTTCCGGCTCGAATGTGGGCTGCCCTGCCTGAGGTCTTGAGGGAGGTTCGAATCTTCGGCTCTTCGACCTCGTGTAGCCCTAGTTTCTTTGCCATTGCTTTCTTCTGCTTGATCGCTTGCTGCGCTGGCTGCTTCTGCGGGGTCTGTACGACCGCCGTAGCTTTATCTGCTGGTGTGCGGCGGGCCTTCGGCTTTGCTCTGGCTTGGGCTGCTCAGTGTCTGGCTTCCCCAGTGGTTGTCCAGATTGGCCCTCGTGGGCGTGAGCGGCTGCGGGAATACCGTGGTGAATGAGCGAGGACCCAAGATCAGTGGAGGAGTTGACTTTGCAGCTAGCCGGGCTGCAGATTACGATTCGGCGGTCTCCGACTGCTACGGTTGAATCAGCGTCTGCGGGCGATACTGCTTCTCCGGCTCCAGCTGCTTCTTCTCAGGAACCCCAGGCCTCAACTGGACCCCTTGCTGGGGAGCGAGCTTCTCTCTCCCAAGGTCCCCTGCCGGGCGGCCTTACCGTGGCTGAGGACATTCTGCTTCGGGCTTCGACTATCGAGGAGCTTCTCAGCTTTGACCTCGGAGTGAACCAGCATTTGGCCCGTGGGCTATCGACAGTGGGCGAGTGGACGCCTCGCGCACGGATTGCTCGTGCTTATCGCGCGGGCTTGGCTGCGCGCTTGGTGCTGGCCGGGATCGTTTCCTACCAGCAATCTTCGCTGCAACTTCCCTTGAGGAACCGCTGCTATTTGGTCCTGCGTTGTGCAGCTCGCCCGGACGGGTTCTACACCGAGGACCTGCAGACCTTCCGGAACAACGTCCCGAAGGACTCCGCTGGACGATTGGAGCGGGGCTCCGTCTGCCACGCCTTTCCATCTCGATCAGAAGCTAACGCATTTGCTGCCGGCGCCGCTGCGCGATGGCCGGTCGAAATGTGAACGAGCAGGAGGTCCGCGACCTTGTGTCTGGTATGGCCACCGGGAAACCTCTGCCTCTGATCTACCTCATCGATGCGATCGAGCCTGCTGCTTGGCGTGCCACGGCTTTCTTGGTCCGATGTCGAGTCGGGGGCTTCATGGTTGCTGTGCCGAGCGACGAGCGAGTCAGGGACCAGTTGCAGGATTTTTCCGATTTGGCGCTGCACGATCATCCTTGGCTTTTCTCCGAAGCCACGATGGAGGTCGAGACTCCCCGTCGCAAAGCGGCAGGACCTCTCGAGCTCTACTTGGTGGATGCTCCTTGGTCTGCTTTGGGAAATTTTCGGAAGGCTACTTCGGGGCGTGGGGCTTTGGAGCTGATTGCTTTGACTACCTCCACCGGTGCAGTGGTGCGGCCTCTCCCCGAAGCGGCTCGCTCGGCATCCGATGCTTGGATCAACGACACAGGCGAGGATGGTGCTCCCGACGGCGATTTGGCCGAGTACATCACTGCCGAAAGCCATGCTGGTTCAACTCCGCCATCGGTTCGCGGTCCGAGCGCAGCTGCCAAAGGGGAAGAAGATCCTGCATCCGAGCTGGCTCGGCTTCGGGCGAGGCTGGCTGTCTTAGAGCAACGGGCGGCAGGATCCACTGCTCCTTCTCGTGCCGACCCGATTCGGCGTGGAGCTCGCGATCTTTTCCCTCCCGACACCGAGCACGATGGCACCGAGCTCACCGAGGCCGACTGGAAAAAGTTGCGTGCCACAGCTGGTCAACCACCTGTTCGGCTTGCCGGCCACGAGCGCGCGGGGCGCGCCACCCGGGCCGAGGATACGCTCCTTGCCGAGGGCCAGGCCGGGGCGCTGGACGAGGAGGCGATGGCTGCCGACTTGGGTTCCTCAGCGGACCCGATTCATCGGCTGTTGGCTGTGCAGACGCAGTTGCTAGCGAGACTGGCTCCACGGGGCCCTGTGGATCCGATCAGTGCGGCGCTGGGCTCCGGAAGCGGAGGGGCCAAAGACGAAGGCAACTTAGGCTCTCGTGGCTCCGTCGCGAGGGAGGCATTTGTCAAGCTGATGGCGAACGACACAGCAGTGGCAGCGGCCATCCGAAATCTGGCGGCCGACGAGCTTGGTGTGCAGGCTCATGCCGTCCACCCTGGGCTCATGAAGGATTTCCTCGAGAGGAAGGTGCCCATTGCGGATCATCGTATGCTGACGCAGGTGGGGTACTTCGCTGCAGCAGCTTGGGAGCGCAGCCGCATTTCTTCAAACGAGGAGCTCGAAGCGTGGGCCAGCCGATTGATGCTCTATGTCGAGCAGTCGGCGCTCCAGGACGGGCGCACCCAACTTTCTTGGTTGCTGACGGGGCTGAGCGAGCCCAGCTGGGGCCTTCTGACGCGGCGAAAGTCTTCTCTGAGGCCCTTCGCTCGCCTTTGCCCAGCGAGCTGGGTGTCGGCCAATGTGGCTTTCCTAAAGGAGATGGATTTCATAGGGACCAAGCTCGCTCCGGGAGGCGGCCGCCAGACGGACACTCCGAAGGACGCCGACGATCCTGCTCCGGACGACAAGCCTCCTCGAAAGCCTCCTCGTCGGCCGCGGGGCGGAAAGCCGAGCGAGACCCAGGCATGATGTGTGCCGCCGTGGCTGCCCCTACGGCGGCTTCTATGAACCCTGAGCCGATGATTGCATGTACGCCGGGAGCAAAGCTCGTGGCCGGTTGCTCGGAGCGGCAGCCTAATTCATTAGATACTTTTGCCGATGACAGGCCTTTTTCGGTCGGTGCCTGCACTGCGTCCTCGAAGGTTGCAGCTACTGTTCTCGGGGTCACTGAGCCCGGGCCGGTCGCCTCGTCCCAATCTGCTTACGCTAGTGCCCTTAAAGCTCCTCGCCCGGCCCCTACTCCCCCTAAGCATGTGCCTCAGGATGTGTTGCTCCAGTGCTTCCCGCAAGGGCTTCCCTCCGACCGTGTTAGGTACGTGCCTTGGGTCAGCCACTTCTTGGGGTTAGCGGGTTCTGCTAGGTGCTCCTTAGGAGCTTTCCTTCGTAGTTCCTTCTCGCCCCACGCCTCGCACATAGAGCCTCCTGACGATTCTCGAGGCGACCCGTGGCCAGTGCCCCCACCTCCGAGGTGGCGACGGACGGCCGATGTTCGGAGTTACGGCCCTCGGCGCCGGCATAAGTGCAAGCTTCATGCTTTAGTTCGTGACTTAGTTCGGTTTCTTGTGGGTTGCCTTAATTGGTTATCTCTTGGAAAGCCGACCGTTGCACCTCCTTGTGCCCGTGCTCGTGCCACTGGCTGTGTTACCCATCAGTGCATTTTGGAAGTGATCGAGCATCATGCCTCTTACTTCGCACGTGGTGGCGACTTCACTCCAGACAGCCTTGGCCGTAGCGAAGAAAAATTTAGATCATTGCTCTCTCAGGCTTTGGAACTGCCTCAGGATCCTGCTTTGGTAGGGGTTGAGCGCGTGGACCGTCTGACGCAGAAATTAGTTTTGGAACTGCAAGCTGGCTGGGATGGATATTCTCGTGCTTCGGATGCTGGGCAATCGTCTGAATCCAATCTTGATCTTCCTTTGCCTGCTGAGCCTTCCGGCTCTTTGCCCGCCAAGCGGGGGAATTTCGATGTATGTGAGCGTGAGGTCGCAGAGGTAAGCCAGGGGATAGTGTGTAAGCCCGTTGTTGCTGATCGCATCAAGTGGTCGCTTCCGCCTTCCTTTGACCCTGTGCCCTTCCTTAGTGACCCCGTCTCCAAAGCATTGTTCTTTGACCCTACTTGTTTTGATCTGCCTCCCGAACGGTGTCCTAAAACCAGGCCTTCTAAAGTCCACTGCACACGTCAGGAATTGCTTCGTCTGGCCGCAAAGTGGGATGCGCACCAGGCTCTCCGGCTTTTCCCTTGCTCGGAGGTTGATCATTCTGCTGCAGTCGGGGTTTTTGCCATAGGTAAAGATTCTGAGTTTGATCGGCTTATTATAAATCCGGGTGTTGCCAATTCTCGTACCATTTCGTATAGCAACTTCACGAAACTCCTTTCCCCGGGTGCTCAGCTGACGCTTGTGACTTTACCCGCTGATAAATTCCTTCGCATGTCCGCTGACGATCTCTCGGAATTCTATTATACATTTCGGGTTCCGCGTCGCAGGGCCTTGAGAAACTGTGTCCGTGTGCGGTTCCATGCTTGGGAAATTCAGCATTTCACGGGTTACGATCCAGCTTTACACTCCGATGGAGCTTATCTGGCTCTCAATGCCCTCGCGATGGGCGACGTGCATGCAGTCGAATTTGCACAGCAGGCTCATTATAATGTGTTGCATAGCTTCGCTCATGCTGTTCGCCCCGATGAGTTTGTCGGTTATAGATTACCGTTTCCCCGAACCTCATGTGTAGAACTCCTTGCGATAGACGATCACATTACTGCGCAGCTCTGCTCCCGCAATGAACTGAAACGCAAGCTGCCGTGCCGGGATACTGAAATCTTCTCCGGTGCCTCTTCTGCCTACGAGACTGTGGGTATGATACAACATCCTAAGAAGCGGCGCCGCTATGAGACAGGCGGCACTTACCTTGGGGCTGAGGTCGACGGTATAGCTGGTTTCGTCGGGGCTCCACGCCATCGCGTTGCTGTGCTCATCGTGCTGACGCTGATTGTGGCACGTCGGGGTTTTGCCTCCCCCGCATTGCTTAGCTCGATTGTGGGATTGTGGATCCATGTGATTATGTTCAGGCGGCCGGCACTGGCCCTCTTCAATCATGTGTTCACTGATGCTGCGCGCACACCGGCGCATTCGGTTCTCCATCTGGCTCGGGAGTCTATCAACGAGCTCCTGGCGATCGCCATTTTGGCGCCTCTGCTTTCGACGGACATTCGTGTGGGTTTCTGCCCTTTTCTGTTCTGCATGGACGCTTCACCCGACGGTGCTGGGCTGTGCAGCGCCCCGCTTCCTTCATCTGTGGTTCAGGAGCTTTGGCGCCATAGCGAGCAGAAGGGCTTTTACACAAAGTTGCAAAATGATGCGGGGGCTTTGCTGGAGAGTTTGGGCCTCTCTAGTGAGCCCCAGTTTGGTGCGGATGTGCCACGCGTGCACACTGACATCTTTCCTCTGCGGCGCTCTCTATCTGAGGGGATCCTCTGGGACTGCATTGAGCTCTTTGCGCGCGGCTCAACCTGGTTTCGGGCCCACCACGCAGCAGGGTTGACTTGCTTCACTGGTCCCAGCCCCGCTTGTCATTCGGGCTCTTCTTTCACTGCATTGGGTGACCGTCGCTGCTTTCATGAGCTTGCGGCTCTGGCGGCTCGCGGTGTTGTGCGGGAGTGGCATGCGACTCCTGGGTGCCGTTCCTTTGGGACTCTTAGGCGACCGCGGCTTCGCTCCAAGCTTCATCCTGCAGGATTCGTGCCTGGTGAACCTTTCACCGCGAGTGACAATCGGTTTGCTCGACGCTTGGCCTTCCTCATGTCGCTTGTCGTTACTGCAGGGGGTTTCTTCAGCATCGAGCAGCCGGGGAGCTCGGTCATGTTCTACTTGAATTGCTTCGTGAGGCTGGTGGGCTTGGGATGCGCTTTGACACGCATTTCCGATTGCAGCTACGGCTCTCCCTTCAAAAGGCCTTCGGTCTGGTTCCACAATAAACCTTGGATTGTGGGGCTGGGCTGCTCTTGCGATTGCCCCTCTGACCGGGTTCACTGGCCTATCTGCGGGTCGTTCGGGGCTAGCTGTCGGGCTGACTTCTCAGCGTGCTGTTCGCCTAGTGTTCTGGGTGTTTTCGGTCGTGAGCCTGTGGCTGGCGAGTGTGTGTCACAGTTCGCGGCTATCTGTCCTTTGCCGCTAGCACATCGTATGGCTTCGGGTAGTCGTTTGAGTAAGGATGGTTTGGGTCGCCCGATGCCTTATTCGGCGTTGCACTCCACTTTAAGTTCCCTCTCCCTTAGTGGTTTAGGCCCTCCCCTTGAAGCGACTTCCACAGTTGAGCTCCGTCCCTTCCACGAGGACCCAGAGTGGATCAGCGAGCTTGCGTGCTCGCTGCCGTTCCGTGAGCTGCTGAGGTATCGATTCCGCGATCGGGGGCATATCAATGTGCAGGAGATGCGGGTTTATCGTAGCTGGTTAAAGTGGTGCTCCACTCGCCACTCTAGGTCTAGATTGCTGGGGTTGCTTGACAGTCGGGTCACACTAGGAGCGTCCGCGAAAGGGCGCTCGAGCAGCCCGGCGCTTTGCCACGTGCTTCAGAGTTCCTTGCCTTATGTGCTGGGAGGTGCTCTTTACCCTGGGGGCCTCCATGTGTACTCTAGCGATAATTCTGCAGACGGGCCTTCGCGAAATAGACCTGTTGCGGCCCCTTCTCGTGAGCAGCCTCTCTGGCTCCACGATTTGTGCCGCGGTGATCCCTTCCGCTTCGATGTCGTGACTGCAGCTGCACGAGTTCCTAAGCTTGCTGCCCGCTGGCTTAGATTCTTGTTACTGTTGGGAGGCGACATCGAACCGCATCCGGGCCCTTTGCCGGTTCCTCGTGGTGCTTTGGACTTGCAGGCGGGCTTCGCCGCATCTACTCGGCATAAGATGTCAAAGTGCTTGGCTGCCTTTACCGAGTGGCTTCTGGTTGAGTTTAACTTGTCGCTCCTTGCGGTCTTTTCGGACGTTTCCGCCACGGCTTTAGCTTTGCGGGCTTACGGCCTTCACTTGTACCAGTCGGGACTCCCTCGGTACCTCCTGGTATACGCAATCACTGCCGTCGCTGACTTGAAGCCCGAGTTCCGAGCCCATCTTACACCGGCTTGGCAGATCGACAAAAAATGGCAGGCCGTCGAGCCGGGCGAGTGTCGCCCTGTCATTTCAGTGCCAATTCTCCAAGCTGCCGTGTCGGTTGCTCTGCTTTGGGGCTGGGCCGACTGGGCATCCATCACCTTGATCGGCTTTTTGTGCATGCTGCACCCTTCTGAGATGGTGCCGCTGGTGCGCAGCGACCTGGTGTTGCCCGAGGACGCACTTTCGGCCGATGCTGTGGCCTTCGTTCATGTGCGAAATCCGAAAACTGCAAGGTTTGCTCGCCGCCAGCACAGCCGTCTGGAGGACCGCTTCGTGCTCGACTTTCTCTCCGCGAGGTACAGTCACTTGCCTTTTTCGGACAGACTTTTTCGGGGCTCGCTTCACACCTACCGTCGACAGTGGGACGCCATCATGATGCATCTTGGTGTGCCGTGCAGACAAGCTGTGAGGGGTGCTACACCTGGAGTGCTCCGGGGCAGTGGTGCTACTTTTCTTTATCAAGAGACGGAGGACCTAGGCTTAGTTGCTTGGCGGGGCCGCTGGAGTAAAGTAAAGACGCTGGAGTTTTACCTTCAGGAAGTCGCTGCTCAATTGCTCTTGCAACAACTCCCTGGCTGGGCTCGAGCCAGGATCGCTCTGCTGCGCGGCTACACTCGCAGGCTCATGTCTCTGACCGTGCGCGGCTCTCGCGTGTGAGCTTCGCTCAAGGGTCCTGAGAGTGGAAAGCTTCGTCTTCAGCTTCTGCGTGTGCTTCCTTCGGCCGACCTTCCCTGTAAGTCCCTAGCGGTTTAGTGGTTTAGGGCCCGTCCCCTTTAGGGTACTTGTGCCGTAGCGACCGCTGCTGCGGGCAGGCCGACCTTGGAAGTTTCACTTCGACGTTGGGACACTTCGACACCGGCGAGGCGAAAAGTGGGATGCTCACTATCCCATGGAGCAGAAGCATCAGTCGACCGCTCGAAGAACTTTCCGGCTCCCGCCCGCCCGCCCTGAGCTCTTCGGAAAGCTTCGTCTTCAGCTTCTGCGTGTGCTTCCTTCGGCCGACCTTCCCTGTAAGTCCCTAGCGGTTTAGTGGTTTAGGGCCCGTCCCCTTTAGGGTACTTGTGCCGTAGCGACCGCTGCTGCGGGCAGGCCGACCTTGGAAGTTTCACTTCGACGTTGGGACACTTCGACACCGGCGAGGCGAAAAGTGGGATAGGGTTTAGCCCCTAAGGCTCTGCCCTAGAGCTTCGCTGCCGGCATACACTGCAAGTCCGTACTTGAAAAGGGTTTCGGGGCATGTTTGAGAAGCTTTGCAAACCCTGGCGTCTCTGGCATTCTATGCTGCGAGACCGCGAGACCAGCTTTTCTGATTTTGATGATTTTGGTTCCAGCCTGCCATATGAGCCTCCAGTTGTATTTGCTGGGAAGCGTTGCAAGACTTCACAGGCTTGTGCATGAGTTCTTCGTTCCGTCGTTTTATGGTCTTGTGGTTTTAATGCGCCTGCCCGCCGTGCAGACTTTCAGTTGCAAAAGCAGAAGCAGGGGCATGTCGCTGGCCGATGGCGGCGACTTTACATCCGTGTTGGGTGGTGGTGCTGCTGTTATGTGTTGCTGTTCCCACTTCCAGTGAGCTCCGTTGCTTGCAGACGCTCGCCACGCATGACGAGCTTTTCACCGGCCGCGGTCCATGGTTTACCAAGGAACATGGGCAAAGTTGTGGGGAAGAGCATCCGGATGCTGCAATGTTGGAAGTTCATCTCCCGCGGAAAGAAGTGTACCTGCAACGAGTAGTTGAAGAAGCCTCACTGACAGCAGGCCGCCGTCTTTCAGCGAACATCTCTGCAAGGCTGTGGCTTTGCGTTCCACGCCGGTGCACCAGTGACGGGTCACTCCTTCGATTAGTCGTCCATCGAGCCCTTCTGCGGTACCTTGGCCTACGTCCACCGCTTCCGCGGGCTCTGCAGCCCAGTGAGCTGCGATGGAAGCTATCAGACGGCACGCTGCCACTGCCGCTACCTTCGGAGGCCGAAGACCTGGCTCAGAAGGGTCGCTGCGTGTGCAGCCAGGACATCGGAGACAGATACCAGCTTCCTGCTGTATTGTTCAGTGTCCGAGAGGTGCGCGAGTTGATGGAGGATCTCCAGAAGCCAGGGATACGCCGGCAGCGCGCGCTGGGGAGGATACGTTTGCCACACGCTCTGTCGAAGAGGACCCTTCTTCAAGTCAGGCGACATGCGCCCAAGAACTGCTACAATTCGTATCAGCTGGACCCCTCCGAAGGTCGATGCACCGCCGCAGCCCTTTCTCGCTCGTTGCTGCGGTCAGTCGCCGCAGCGGCATCGCAGCACCTGGGACCGTCAACGCTGCTCGCCCAGCTCGCCGATGCTACAGAGGCTGCCACAGTCATGCAAGACTGCCCCTGGGCACTGCTCGATGACTTTGCCTGCGATGGTTGTGTGGGACCGCCTCGAGGCTTCCGCCCTGCCAATCTGCTTGCAAAGGTGCGGGCAGCTCATGCAGCTTATCCCTCAGGGCGAAAAGTCCTTCCGAATCCGCTGTCCTGGGCTGGCGAAGATTTGACCTGCGACGAAGCCGCTACGGAATCGAGGTATGCGGCAGCCGCTCAGGCTCACCCCTCGCAGGGCGTTGCCCAGCGGGTGGCATGCTTGTACTTGGCGGCGCTACCGAACGACTACCCGCCTCTTCGCAGGAGTGAGGAGTTATAGTATACTATGGTAATATAGACTATAGTAATTTATTATATTATAGAGATAGTATATGAAAAAAGTATTTTACACATCTTGGCAGGATGGCCCAGAGCTTCGCTCGGCATTGTGATTGGGCCAAGTTCTTCGCTGCCCCAAGCAGAGAGGAGGAAACGCGCAGCTCCTGGAAGATCCGAGTCGGCCGACGCGATTTTGAAGTCGTGAACCTGGCACGAGCATTCCGTGAAACTCAAGCGGATAAGAGCTGGATGAAGATGCAGTGGACTGACGCGGACAAGCCGACTCCTGGAATTCCAGGCTCTAAAACCTTTCGCACGCGACTCTGGTCTGGTAACACCATCCAGAAGAGCTTGCTTATGGCCGTCTACGCAGCTCGACACTTACTGCAAGATGCCGACCTCTTCTGCTGGCTGGAGCTTGACAGTGCCTTCTCTGCCGAGAACCTGCGAGCCTTTGCAAGGGCAAATGTGCTTCGGGCCGGGGACCCTCACTTCGTGGCGGCGCTGCATTTGGGCATGAAGCTGCAGATGGGAATCTTTCCACACACTGCTGGTGGGGTCTGCATGACCCAAGAAGCTCTGCGGAGACTCTCACAGCATTTGGAGCCGTTGGACAAGACGGCGGTGACCTATCCTTTCCCACAGAAAGTCGTCTTCTGGGCGCCGACGGTGCTGGGCGGCGGGCCCTTGGCCCGCCGGGTAAATGGCTGTGGCTTTGTCGCAGGGCATTGGTGGGACATCATGCTTGGGCGATGTTTCGTGGCCTCGAACGTCACCGCACATCCTGCCGTTGAGGATGAGGCTGGGAGTTTCCGAGAACAGGGGACCCTAAGATAGTACCCTGAATGGTAGGATCCGTATTAAAAGGACCCCAAAATAAGGTTCCCCTGAACTCCCAGGTTGGGCGCTACTACTTTGCCACCCAGCCGCTGCCATGCCAGGAGCACTTGGCTAAGCGGCAGTTGCCGCCCCTGCCGGGACCGAAACTCGCTCCTGGCAGCTTAGAGAACCTTTGTCATAGCTGGGTAACATTTTACATTTTTATGGGTACTTAAACCCAACAAGGAAAAATCAGATTCTTAATCCTATCCCAACCATGAACTAGGAACGTGGCCCGGGCCGTGTGCGAACTCTACGGCTTTGCCCCCGAGCTACATCGCTGGATGACCTGCCGGCCCTCGCAGGTGACTGCTGTGGCGGACTACTGGCTTTCGCCCTTCGCCATAGGCTATCACGGATACAAGAATCTCACGGACCTATTGCATGCTTACCGGATTCTCTACCACTCTGCTGGGTGCAATTGGGCTCTACCCTTCCGGCCAAAGGTGCTGCACGAGGACAGCCGCATCCAAGAAAAGATGGACCGTCTCTTTCTCTGTTCCCGCATGCCCTAACGGTCCTAACAGCACTGGTACCTGCCCTGTGAGAGTTTCATGAAGGAGGATCTTTGATTGCTTTCTTTACTAAGCTTTGGAGTTGATGCTTCATTTCTGCCTCATTGCCAGCTTCTGCTATGCCACTCGTAGCTACCATGACAGAAATGACAGCGACAAGTCGGGGACAAGGACGTGGAGAAGAGTACTGTGCAAAACGGGACAGAGACGTGGAAGCGCACGGCAAAAGGATAGGGGTCTGAGTAATTCTTGTAGACATTGGTCGTAGTATCCCCTTATCGTCCATATAAAATTTGCAATCGTGGAGGCCTTTGTGTTTCCTGCAGACCTCTCCTTCCAGTGGTGCTCTGGAATCTTGCATGAACCACTGAAAGTCAAGCGCAGCGCGAGCCGAACCCGATTTTCCGAGAGACTGATAGGAGATGCATGTTCCGATGTTGGAGGCTGCTGTTGGTGAGGCGGCCTTACATCCCAAATTGTTTCCCTACAATCAGGCCTTAACCGTCGAATCACCCAGAGCTTCCGAGCCATGTCTCACCTGGCTTGGCAACCAAGATCAACCAAGGCCTGCACGATATCGAACTCGTACAACGCCAACGACGAGGCTGACGCTTTGGCGCTCTTCAGGATTCGGGGCTCAAGGTCCTAAAGATGCAAGGCAAAGGGATACAGTAGGGTCGATCCTGGGGCCTGCGCGTGTGCATGGGGAGGTTTTTGGAGTTTCTTATGCCTTCCCAAGAGATAAGGCTATCGGATTGTGATTCTGGTCTCAGACTCAGGTCAGGCGGTCTCGGATTCATCGAGGGCGGTGGTCAAAGTCATAGTGCTGCTCTGATCCTGCTTTTTGCAAACGTCCGGCAGCAATGAGCCGTAGACCGTAGAGATCACGCCCCTTAGATGCCAAACCCTAAAGCCCGAAAGCCCCTTACCTTCCTAAAGGTCGCTATATGTAAATCCTTATGGTTCCTATAGGTCCCTGTAAATCCTTAGAAGACCCTAATAAAGCCAACGACGAGGCGGTGGAGCCAGTGGAGACTTCGCGAAACTTTGAGACGCTTGGGCTGAAGCGGTGTGGCCTAGATGACTTCGACGATGTGTCAGTGACAAAAAGAGTGAAAACCCTACCAGCAAAAAGTTACCCTAGACCCTAAGCCTTAAGCCCCAAAGCCAAAAGCCTGCCCCCAAAGAGGCTCCCCGTCCGCATCAGCGGAAAAAGGGAATCAAAAAAACAAAGCCCCAAATGCCCAAAACCCTCAAGCTTAAAGGTTCTAGAGCCTAAGGGTACCAGCGACGACAGCCAAGCATCCATGGTCTAAAGAGGAGAAAAGAGCCGCAAAGAGTACTTGAACCGAAATGGCCATGAGCTCTCACGCTTGCCTGTTTATGGCTGAGGGTGCAAAGCTTCGGGCTTGGGTTTAGGGCCGTATGCATTCCCAAAGAGCTTGACCATCTGTGGCACACCATGGACGGCCGCCTTCAGGGGGGAGGCACTCTCACTCAATCCTATACCCTTGACCCTACTAAGCTCTTATGGCACTCTTGCAGGACCCCTTAAATAGGAACCCCAAAACTTCTTGTTTTGACTCAGGTTTGACGAGACGCTGCTCCCGTTCACCAGATGTGCCTTGGACGTGCCGTTCATATAGTTTAGTCTACTCATAGTAGGGAAGGCAGTACGATTGGTAATCGTTCAGGCCCCACATTTAGAGACTTGCGTCGGCAAGTGCCTTCGTCACCTGTCAGGCTTTGCCGATCTCAGCGTCTTGCCGGCAACGGTTGTTCGATCCTGACAGCAGCATTGTGTGTGTGCCGCGAGGTAATCACAGCCCTAGGCCCTATATCTGCTTGCCGAGGTGATGAGATAGCAGCCTCTGCTTTGCCAAGAGATCTCGGACTTCACGATGATAGCCTCATCACACCAATCTCTCCAGAGCCTCGTCTCAACTCCCTGTGCCGGCATCTTTGCGGGTGCGACATGGACTGGGCCTCTGTTGCTGCGATATGAGGTTTGGTGCGATGTTTGCGGTCGGATGCTCTTTGGTCTTATGCAAGACTGTGTCCGGCTGCTCTGATGCATCCATTGTATCCTTTGCCGAGACAAGGAAGTTGAGAAGCAACAATCATGATCTCTGTCCGCATCTACATTGCTTGCAGCCCTGAGGTGTGCAGAATGTGGTCGTGTGGCATGCAAGACTTGTGCCTTCACTCGGAGTTGTGCCGTGAAGGAAATTCGACAGTACCTGGAAGCAGGTGCCGGGGACGGCATATAACCCAGAGACGCATCACGTCGCCCCGTGCGCCCCAGACTCGGCCAGCATCGGTTTCGGCAGCATCGTCTCATAGTAGTTTTATTGCGTCAGCATCCATGCATCGCGAATGCATGCGAAGCCCCTTTCGATTGCTTGCATGGTGCAAGTGCGAGCGTCGAAAAGCTAAACCCGCTTCTCGCCCTGGCAGGTGCGCAGCTGCCTTTCCACCTTCAGGACCGCTGCGGCGAAGCCGTGCTGGTTTCTGGGTTCAAAGGGGCCGAATGTTAAAGCCTTCGAAGAGGGTTTGGCTTTGGGTCAAGAAACTCCCGCTTCGCGAGGGATCTCCCGGTTCAGCGGGCATTTCAGGAGTCGTCTGTGGTCACAAGAAGCGGTTTTGGGTTGGGGTTCTTGCATCATGAGCAGTTGGTGCCTCAGGTTTTGCCGGTGGTCAAGCGGCATCCTTCTGTGCTCCGCTACGTTCCCCAGGCAGGGACGGCTCTGTGTTGGAGGTCCACGTCTAGCCCTTTCGTGAGTATGTCGTTGGCATGAATGAATCTGTGCTGTATAGTTGTAAAGGGACATGCTTGGAGGTTCATGGGTAGTTACAAGTAGGGCAAAAAGCAGCGTAACAAAAATTGAAACCCATATTAGGGGACTTATAACCCCACTTATAACTATTCATGATCCTCCAAGAACTGACATGCAAGGGCCGGGGTCGACGTTCAGATCTCTGTATCGGTACAGCAGAATTTGACAACACCCAAGAGACGAACATTTGTCTTTGTTGATGCTTCTAGACCGTCCCATGACCTTTGCCTGTCATGCGTGATGAACTCGCTCCCGGGCCTGCATCCATACTATAGGGGCATGAATCATTAGCTGTACTGTTTTGAGGGTTCCTTGTTTTAAAAATAATAGTATAATGGGCCCCAAAACCCGACTATTATTGTGATGAAGGCCCCTACATTATACTACCCTGATAGATCCCTCATAGTTGCCCTTACAGACCCCTTTAATGGAACCCCCTTCTAGTTATTTAAGGCCCTCTTGTTACACAAGCTCCCCTTGCATCAATGCCGATAGGAACTCTGGAGGGATGAGACGTTCCTACGGCAGTTCCTGGACTTGGGCGGGCACGATGCGGGCCTCCGAGTCTTGGCTGTGAGGGGAGGGTGCGCATCAACTAAACTCACAAAGCTGCAGTCCGGAGGAGTGCGACCTCCGACCTGAAATGAGAGGTTCTGTTCTATATACAGTATATATGTTTATGTATTGTTATATACTATATTAGGATCAGCCAAGCGGGAGCCAGAATACTATAATATACAATAATATATCATTATGGGTTCTGTTTTTGTTTAGGAAAGAGCGGGTTGAAGGCAACCTCCGGCCGCATTTTCGCTCTTAGGCGGCCCTAGTGCTCATGCCTGTGGCTGTGGCCTTTCGCCTTATTGTAGAAAGGTGATGGTGATAACGTGCTCTGCTGTTTCTTAACGTTAGAAAACATTCTCTGCTGTGAGTCCTCACACGTGCCGCCCTGCGGCGCAGTGCGGACTGGAGAAGCCACCTGCTTACCCATCTCAGGACAAGCTGCCAAGCAGCAGCTGTCGGAGCTGGAGAAGCCGGACAGAGATGAAATCGCCGGTGCCGTGATGGTGGCTCGGCTTTGACTGGTTGGGCATAGTCCCACTCCTAGGGTCCTAGTGTCCTAGCTCAAGATTGCTTCAGGCGGTGCTGCGGCAGGCGGGTGGGGCATGTCGCTGCGCCTGCCATGCGTTGAGCGCATGCTGCCGGATCTTCGTGAAGCAATGGTGACCCTGAAGGGCTTTGAGTCCAGTGGCGTCGCTTTTGCCTTGGAGCTTCTCGCGCAACTGGCGGAGAAAAGCCCCGCTGTCCTGGCTGCGGCGAAGGCTGGGCTTTTTCTGAACACCAAGTGGGACTAGGTGGGACAGCGCTTGATCTCAGCTTCCTTATGAGGAGAGGCTGAACGATGCAGATGCTGTCGTTCGAGCAGCTGCTGTCTCTGCTGTTTCCCTCTTGGCCAAAGTCTGAGTTTGGGGTTTAGGGTTTAGGGCGAGTTTAGCTGATCAGCAGAGTCTGGGTTCTAGGGCGACTTTAGGGCTTCTTGCGAATCAGGGCACAAAAGAGGGCCTGTTAGGGACAGGATCCGAGCTTGTCTTGCAATCTTGAGTCCCGGAGTCGTGATCCCCATTCACGTCAGCATGCAGAGCTACCGTACACACACCAACAAAATCGCCCGCCGTGCCAGAGCGCAGAGCCATGCGCACCAGTAAAGATCTTGTGCTGCTTAGGCCAGGAAGGATGACAGAGCTTGCAAGAGCGCAGCTTGGATGCACCTGCATGACGAGGGCCACGCCTCAATTCAAGGGTTGTGTCCCCGCGCATCTTCCACCGGCCAAGCAGGCTTCGCAACAGAAGTCCCCAAACAACAGGCACGATCAGCTTCAATCCGACCTGCGAGGTACCGAGGGAGCTTTTCCGACGCCTGGAAGACGAGAGCCAAGCCGTCCGAAGTGCTGCCATCGATGCCCTGCCGCAGCTGCATGCGGAGGTGGGGCCTTGAAGCATGTCCAGAACGGAGAAAAATGTAACTCAGATAGGTAGGCAAGCAGATCGGTCAGATAGGCCGGAATGTAGGCGGGCTGGTGCGTAGGCGGGCTAGGTGGGCTGGCTGGTAGGGATACGTAAGGTAGGTAGGCCAGTTAGTTATGCATGTACGCGTATGCCAGTCGGTCAAGTCATGATGGCTTTTTGGCCGACTCTAGCTCGCGATTGTGATCTCTCTTCCTCATGCAGCACTCTCAGGGGCGGCGGAAGCTGTCCGCTTTGACCCCGCGGCTGCAGGACCTGTGGAACTGTCCGAGTGGGGATATTCATTTCGCTGCGTTTTCCCTTGGAGTGTGGTACATTGGTTTACTTGGTGTTGGGGTCTGCCTGACGAAGCTGCAAGGGTATGTCCGATGTAGATTCCGCCTGGGGTCGTGGTGTGGCCGATCCAACAAGGGCGGAAATCGTAGAGGCCTTGGTAGATAGGGGAATCTGCGCAACAAGACTAGGGAAGGCCTGACTCTCCCTGGAATTTAGAAAGATGGTTTTGGCTGGTGGTGTTGTGGAGCTCATTGATTTGTGCTGAACTTCTCGCTTCAGCTGCAGGGGATCGAGATGTGTAGGTTTCCCAGATAGAGAAAGCCAAACGCAGAGACTGAGCATCGCAACCACTCAGAATGTAAGGTGTATGCACTGCGTGCACAGGTTTCCATAGTCGCAGGATACCCAGCTTTCCCATGAGCGGTGATGCCCGGGATCCCGCGGATGAGGAGGTTGAGAAGGAAAGGGTGAGACAGCCCGAGCCGGGCACAGGCAGTGCTTCGAGCTCGGGACCGTGCCCGGCCGCATCGAGCCGGGAACGTGAGCGGCGCCTGAAGGGGGAGTTGGCGCTTGAGGAGCTGGCTCTTAAGGGGAGCTGTGTGAAGGACGGCGGCGTTGCCCATGCCATGCTCCTGGTGCCCATGCGGATGGAGCAGCGGCGGCTGCTGCCCGCGCGGGGCCTTCCTCGGCAACTGGAGGCCAGGCTGAGGGCAGCGGTGAGGGCAAGCTTCTGCTTGAAGCCCCAGCGATGGCACGGCTTTGCCTTCGAACAGCGGATGATCCAACTCCAAGCGGATCGACAGCTCGCCTTGGCAGCCGTGGAGAGGCGGGGTCTGGCCTTGCAGCATGTGCCGGCAGAGCTCCGAGACCGAGAGCTGGTTCTGACGGCCGTCCGGTCTCGACCGCGGGCCTTGGAGTTCGCACCTCCCCAGCTGCAAAGAGACAGACATGTTGTCCTGGCTGCGTTGACAGCGCCTGGGGGTCACAAGGCCTTGGGCTTTGCCACAGCTTTCCACCAGGATCAGGAAGTCCAAGCAACCGTCCGGCAGCTGCGCGCGAAGCTCGCGGAGACCAAGAAGCTGGCAGACGAGGGTCTTCAGCTGGATCTGCCTGTGGAGCAGCCTTCCGATCTTGCTTCGCCGCGGACGGCGCCCATCCTTCGGATCGTTCCGGATGACATGCTTTGCTTGCTGCACTTGTGAGCCAGGGAGGGGAAGTGATCAAGCCCAGCCTCGTCGGTTATGTACAAGGTTGAGGCGTGAAGCCCTCAACTCACAGCCGGAAGACGTCGTCATTCTTGCGGTGGAAAAAAGCTCGAGCGAGTTCACAACCCACCACAGGCCCAAGAGTCCACCGCATTCTTAGCCCCAAACCGCGGAGGTCCGAGTGGTAAATTGTTTAAGGCTTTATGGCAAGTCTTGTAGTTACCCTTTTTGGAACCCTGACGGCAACTCTCTGCAGTATCAGTAACCGTTGCGCTCGACCCCCTGAAATCCCTGCACCACGTGTCCCTCAGCGACTCCAAGGGCTCCCAAGGCCTCCGAAGCTCTGGAGTTGGTCCTTGGCGACCCAGCAGCCACAAAGAGACATGCGCAAAGCCCGAAGCCCTAAATCTCACTTGCCTGCGAGACCTCGTCTGGCTGTGCATGAGTTGGGAGAAAGTAAATCTTGCCTGCCTTGCGAGCTTGGAGCTCTTAAAGTGGAGGAGGCTTGCCGCCTGAAGCCGTGGCTGCCATGGCCACCTTATGCAGAGCGTGAGCGTCGAAGTCTTAATGTCAGCCATGGCACGAGGCTGCAAAGTCTCAAGGGCACGAAGCCCTCTGAAACCCTGCTTTTCTGAAGCCTTAATCCTCATCCAAAAGCCTCTCAAGCTCCGATTCAAGCCACAAGAGGCCCGGAAGCCATGAACAGAAACGCCCTAAACCCTAAGCCCTACACCCTAAGGCCGAAGCCCCAAACCGCAAGCCCAACAACGGCCCTAAAGCTAAAAACCTGGCGAGGATTCGGACCCTGGGGTGAAAGCTGCGGCGCTCCGGTGCTTGCAGAAGCTGCAGGTGAAGGCTGGCAAAGGGGTCATAAGGTCACAAAGGTTACGGTTACCTGTGGGTTGCTATGAGGGTCCCTCCTATGGGCTACGATAAGGGTTGCATATGGGTGTGCTACAACGACTGTAGCGTTGCTATAACGGTTCCCAATATGTGCTACAGAAAGGGTTGCATATGTGTTTGCCAGAAGGGTTTCTGTAAGGCCACTAAAGGGTTTCTACAAGGGATGCTGCAAGGGTTGCTAGAAGGTCAGCATCGACGGATGTTGAATCCCAGGGCAATGATTTCACATACGATGCGCTGGGACGAGAACCAGCTTTGCCTGTTCTTAGTTGACATGACAAAGGAGTGGCCCAAGGAAAAGCCAATATCGGTGACTTCTAGTTGATGTGCTGCACGAGTTGTGCAAGCGTGATGTTATCAGGGAGTTGCTCCCACACATGTCAGAGACACGAGCTGGCATCAGCCCTTGATGTCTTTTTGGAGGTTTGTCGGCGGGGGCTGCTCGTATTGAGTCGGTTCTGAGTGCTGAAACACCAAAAGACGCGGACAGAGAAAGAGACGGAGCTGGCCAGGTCGATAATGGGTCACCCTATAAACCCAAGGCCCTAAACCCTAATCCCTCAACCCTAAACGGCCCTAAACCCTATAAGCCCCAAACTCTAAACTCCTGGCCAGGTCGATAATCGGTTCCGCAAAACACTGAGCAAGGCCTTGGCCGCAGCTTGGTTTTTAATGTTTTTTTTTTTTTTTTACGGGTCTTCGTTTGGATGTGTTAGGGGTTCTGGTTTTCGATAGGCAGTTCAGGGCTGTGATGGGTTAGTGATCAGTGGAGGCCTGGGCTCTTGAAGTTTCGCTACGAAGGCATTTTGGTAAGGTGAAGGTCCAGAGTTTCGACAGTTTCGGGTAGTTTGCCGGTGAAGCGGCCACGTTTGGTGGTTGTTCTTGTTCTCGGCATTGGAAGTAAGTCCGAAGTCCGCCGTTGGAGGGTTGTCGGTTTCAGGCGAACTGCTTGCAACAACGGTTTGATTGCACTTTGAAGTTACACTTTGGTCGCATTTTCACGGCTGGTAGCATTGACAACTGCCCGCTCCATCTCTTCAACCTGTATCTGAACCTCTGTGGCTTTTCCCGTTGCTTGCGTCAGCACGTGTATGTCTTTCGGCGCTGTCACGCTTGGGGCTAGTCACCTAGTCTAAGGACGGACACCCCGACGTGCGGGAAGCCGCATGGTCCTTGATTCCTCATTTGGATTGTGGTGCTCGCCTCAACATGCTGAGCCGAGGTGTGCAAGTACAGACAGATATGGACAGAAACAGACACAGACCGACAGAGACGGACACGTACTTACAGAGCCGGACAGAAAGGCAGACATACAGACAAGACACAGACACAGACACGAGCACACAAACGCACAAAAGCGCTAGCACACATCCACCAACGGACGGACATCCATGACATGCACATACACACAGTATGTGTGTATAGGTAGGTAGGTAGGTTTGCAGGTATGTGTCTATTATGCTACGTGCGCGTGTATGTACGTATGTATGTATGTATGTGTGCATATATTCAAGGCATATATATATATATATATACATACTCATGTACACACATACAGGTACACACATACACACGTGTACATACCTACTTACTTACCTACCTACAGACATACATACACGCGCATATCTGTCTATATGTATATGCAGGCAGGTACATCTAGTTTTTGCCTTGAGATCTGTTAAGTCCAGCTCCCTTTGCGACAGGGCTACGGCTCAAGGATTTCACGAAATGCAAATTTAGAAACATTTTGCAATCGTAGATCGTGGGATCGGGCTCCCGCAACCATACGCTAAACGTCACTGTCACACATGAGCATGTTCAGACACAGCTCATAACTACACATCTTCCGTTGCAGTTGTAAGACCAGTTGACGGCCACATACCTTGGTGGCTCTTCCCATGTCGAGCGCGGCTACTGCCGGCAACCCGGCGTTTGCGGATTGTCTGAAGCACCTGGAGTCTGCAATCGGTGATGCCGAAAATGGTGGAATCACCAATGCGCGAAAGCTGGAAGCCTCTTGGGGTCAGAAGAGGAAAAACCGCTTTTAAGTAGATTATAATTTGTTCACTCCTTGTCCCTGCCGTGGTTACTTAAAAGTAAGTGCCCTAGCAAGAACTGAGGCCTTGTCTCAGCTTGAGGACCTTCTCCCTGCAGTCCCAAAGCCGGAGGTGGCGGAGGCGCGGCTGCGGATAGAAGACCTGTGCGAGAGGATCCTATCGCAAAATGCGACGGACCCCTTGCGGCGCATGGTGGTTTCGGTGCTGAACATCATCTTCGGGCTTTTCGGCGACAGCGGGGCGCTCCCGAATTACGTGGCTCGCTTGCTGAAGCTGACGGGAGATTCCAACAAGAAGGGCAACTCCGACAAGATCAGCGACACGAAAGTTGCTGCGCTGGATATTTTGGGGCAGCTCATGGTTGAGCATGGTCCTGCCTTAGAGAACTTCTCGAACGACCTGGTCATAGTGATTGCAAAGCACACGAAGATGAACGAGGCCAGTGCGAGATGCTCGGCACTTCATGTGCTGTGCAAGATGATGTCATACGGTGGCATAAGACATCTGAGCACAGCTGGTAACATCTGGAAGCTCCTCCAGAAGATGATGCCCGACAAGGCCCTCACGGTCCGCACGGTGGCAGCACAGGCACTGTCCACCCTGACGACGGTCTGCCCAATCTGTGCTGGCGCAAACGGCGAGGCCATGGCGCTGGCGTGTCTCAAGACACTGGCGACCGAGGATTGTCTAGTGCTTAGTAACTTAGTAGGGAATGGGGTAATGGATCCTAAATAGTAGTCTTCATATAATCCCCAGAAATAGTCACCAATATCCCATTCCCCCCTTCCCTACTGAGAACCAGACAGAGGATCCGCCCGGGCTGCTCACCTCGCATTGCTCCGAGAACCGCTTTGCCTTTACCGTGGCTCTCGCCAAGGTCCTCGCTGCTATGGGCTCGCCGGCGGCGGCGGCGGCCCCGGATCGGCCGAAGAAGAAACCCCCTGTTACAGACTTTGCTTCTGCTGTGGATTTTCTGGAGCAGGCGATTCACAAGGGGCCAGGGGCTGGTGCGGTGGCTGTGGGCTTCCGCTCGTCGGTTTGCCTGGCGGTGGTGCTTTTGGCGGAAGCGCAAGGAGTGTCAGATGCTGCAAGCCTCTCCCTGGTTGTCCGTGCCTTGCTGAATGCTCTAGACATGCCAGGTGGGACTCACAAGGGCTCCATGCGACAACCTCAAGGAAGCTCCGGCCAAAGCGACGAGGAGACTTTGATGCAGGTGGCCAGGCAGATCTCCATGGCACTCCATCGCTTGCTGCGCCTCGCAGAGAGAGAGGGCTGCTTGAACGACTTTGTGGAGCAGGGGCTTCTTCCTGTGGTGTCTGCCCAGTTCAACGAGACGTCTCGGGGCACCGACATGCGCATGCTGGTTGTCCTGGAAACGCTGTGCGGCGCTTGCGTCGCTTCCGGTGAGGCCTTCCGCAGCATCGAGACAAAGGTGACCAAGCCACTGCTGCATATCGTGGGGAACTACCCACAGGCCATGGTACAATTGCAGGCCGTCTACTGCCTTCGCTGCATCGGTCGTGGGTCACCGCCACAGCTCTTCCAGTTGTTGAGTGTTTTGCTGAACTTATCCACTGTGCAGAATGCCGAAGTATTGGGCACGCCCCTGCGGCGCCGGGACGCGAATGGCCAGATGGTGGCAGGCAACACTGCAGTGGCTGCTGCCGCGGCTCATGCTGATCTTCAACCGCTCATCCGGGGCCTCTTCGGCCACTGCGCAGCGCTGGCCGCCATGAGTAGCGAGCTCTACAGCAGTGAGCTTGGGGTGCCACATGATGTGACTTCGGCAGTTTTGGGCACATCTGGAGCCCTCCTCCAGCCTCATCCCAGCCCAGCAGTCAGTGCGCAGCGGCGATGCTGTGCCTTCCTGCTCCTTGAGGGCCTGATGTGCTTAGGCTCGGACTGGGTTGGGCAACGCCTGACAACGCTCTTCGCTCTGTGGAAATCCGCGTTGGGCAAGAAGCCGGTTGACCGTTCCAAGGTGGTTTACCAGGAGCATGTGTCTGCAAGCCAGTCTAAGAAGGAAGTGTCCACCGACCTCAGTGCCAACGTTTGCCGCGACGAGCTGCTCTCGCTTTTGTTTGCCCTGCGCTCCTTGTACGCCTTCACCTGGCACTCAAGGGACACGCTGCTGACCTCGCTGCCTCATCTCCACAAGATCTTGGTGGTGTTCCTCACAAACATTTCCCAGCTGGTAGTGGCCCTGCCACACCCCAGCTCCAGCAGCTTTCGCGCCAAGTACCCAAGGGAGGCGAACGGTCCGACAGCAACGAGGCCGATCATCACAATGTCGGCAAACTGCAACATCCCTGAAATTCTCCTTTCGATCAGGGCCACCATGTATCGAACTTTCGCAGCCATGCAGCCTTCCCTGTACTCTTCGCGCTTTGTTCCCTTGCTGAACATGCTTGCGGACGATGTGGCTAGGGCCTTGCCTTCGGACTACCCCTTCACAGAGTTGGTGTCTCATTTTCTGCACCGCTCCGATGTTGTCTTGGACTTGGTGGACGTCCACCTCGAGACCAGCCGGGAGTGCGCCACCACCACCCGCCTCGGGGTCGATCGGCTGCTCTCGGTCTCGCGGAAGGGTGCCTACGCAGCTGAGTCGGTAAGCTTTTAAACTTTCGGGCTGTTTCGCATGATGTTGTATGACCCTGCACCGAACACATTTTTCGGTCTTTGGGCTGGGCAACCCAGGTGCCGATGCAGGAGGCTTCCGTGAGGATGCCGGGCCCTTCGCTGAGGACCAGTGCTCCGATGGAGGGGCTGCGTGCCTCTTCAGCGCGCTCCACCGCGAAAGCCCCGGGGCGCCCGAGTGCCTTCTGACACCCTGGGATGCCTGGTGCGATTGTCGAGAGTCTCTGGCGCCGCAGTGCGTCTCCGCAGAATGGGACTGGCGGTGTAGCTCTGTGAAGCTCTTGGCCATCATCATGAACGCGGCGGAGGTGGGAGAAAATCCACGCGCTGCTGTCCTTCAACATTTGCTCAAAGTTCGACGTGATGCCACGGAAGAGGGCAGCTCGACGGCCTCACCGCAGCCGGAGGTGCACGTGTCATCTTCCGTTGCGGTTTTGGCATATCTTCGCGAGCACGTGCGGATGCGTGGACTGCAGGCAGCACCGCCGGCCCCGGCGATGGAGCAGGTACTTCAGTCTTCTCTCGCCGGGCTCAAGGAAAGCAATCCGCTCCTCCGAAGGCTGCATGCGGAGATCCTCGCCCTGCTCTTCTTCGCACCTTTGTCATAGTTGGGGAACATTTTATACATCTTTATGGCGACTTGAACCCAACAAGGAATAAACATGGACACTTGTTTTTCAAAATCCTATCCCAACCATGAGCTGTAGTCCCCGCGGAGCTGCCATAGGTGTGCCAGGTGGGTGACAAATGAGCTATAGCACAGGTTTATAGAGTTTAGGGTCGACCCTAAACCCTAAACCCTAAACCCTGAACCCTGAACCCTACACCCTGAACCCTGAACCCTAAACCCTAAGTATAGGTACACCACCAGCTTGCCGACTCGCCGATCGTGCCCAACATCCTCCAGCACCTCTCGGAGAGCGGCCAGGGCCCGAGCGGCCCTGAGTCCAAGGAGACCGGGCTCTTCTTAAGGCACTTAACGTAAGCTACCATAATAAGGACGCCATATTACCAGTATCATTATTATTGTTATTATTATTGTTATTTTCATTTTTATTTTGGTATCATTAGTATCTTTATTCATAATTTACTATAGGTCCCGAGTATGGTAGCTTGAATTGCAGATCACTTAAGAAGAGCCCAGGAGAAGGAGGAGAAGCTTCGGGAACGCTCTGCTCTGGCGCTGCTCTGCGGCTGCGTTCTGCGGTGCTTCTCATGGGGCTGGAGAGTCTCCAGGCTTTTAGGGTTTAGGGTTTAGGGCTGTTCAGTGGTACACTTTTTTGCTTTAAGGTTTCTGGGTTCCTATCATAAAATAAGAAGCCAAAAAAAGTATGTACTTTTTCCCGGTGGGTTACTGAACAGCCTAGGTCTTGAGCCCTACGGGAGATCACAGCGTGGGGGGCTTCCACTGCCCTTACATCATGAATATCGTACCAGCTTTGCTGAAGTTGGCGAAGGAGACAGCCCAGCCGGTGCGCTTGTGGATGCTTTACTCCCTGCATCTGGGCATGCAGGCGGCCGGCGGTGCATTCATGCCTTTCATGAAGGACTCCCTGCGCCTGGCCACGGCACATCTTCTTGCAGACTTCTTTGAGGCGCCTCTGGTTCTCTGGGTGGTGTCTGAGCTCACGCATTCCGCCGCTGTGGCCATGTCTAAGAGCGAAGGGGATGTGGATTCCCGGGAAGAGCACCTGCTAGCAGGCATCTGGCGGGTCTTCCGGCATGTGGAGCATGTGGAACCTAGCTGTGGCAATGCCTTCGCCATGATACGGGCAGAGGTTGTCAGCTTGTCGACGGCGCCCTACCTCACGAAGATCGTGCCGCCCAGCAGCCTCTTGGCGATGGCAGCCGGCAAGCTCTCTGACAACGAGGGCAACGCGAAGGTGTGCTGCGTCCGCACGCATGCAGCACAGTGCCTCTGGCAACTGGCCACGGCAAAGGGCTGCGACCTGGGAAGCCTCTTCCGAGACAGGACCAGGCTCTTTCGCCTTCTCGATGCCTCGAAGGGTGCGGAGGCAGAAGCTTTTGAAGCGCTCATCTCTTCCATGCTCCAGGTGCATGGGCTGCACGAGCTCCCAACGTGGCTCCAGGCTCTTCGCCAGGTCGTCTTGGCTCTGCCACCCAAGGGCGCCATCGCTGTCAGCACCAAGGAAGAATCCGCGGCTTCCGCCGCTGGGCACAAGGGTAGTGAGGATCGAAATGCAGACGAGATCGATGACGAGGCAGCGATGGCTGGGCCGAAGCAGGAGGGTGGCAAGCAGAGCAGCCGCATCGCCACAAAGGTTTTTGCCGTGTCGTGCCTCCACCAACTCCTTGAGATGGTCCCTGCAGAGGATCCCGATCATTTTCAGCCCGAGGCAAGCAGCCCGGCTCACAGTTCGCAGCTTCCGGTGGAGAAGCGCTTCATGACGCACCTGGAGCTCTTGGTTGGCGTCGCAGTGAACGCCGCAAGCTCTGACGAGGCTTCTCTCTCCGCCGCCGGCCTTCGGTTGATGCTCCTAATCATCCAGAGGTTCCAGCACACCAAGGACGTGCAGGGTCAGATCGAAGGCGTGGACTGTCCACTCCTTTTGGTCCAGTTCGAGGCACAGGTCACGACTTGCATCCGGCATAACTTGCGGGCATCTGCGAACCCTTCGGTCATGCGGCTTGCTTTGGAATTGTTGCGTGATGTGATTGCTGTGAGAGCATGTACGTCCTCCCAGCGATTGATTGCGCTTCTGATGCAGCCCTTCGCCAGCCCTGCTTTCGAGCCGGATCCTCTCTTTTCGGAAGCAGCTTCCACCGGCTCCTTCCTCTTCCGGCTGCGCTGCGCAGCTGCAGTCTTGGACTCTTCGCAGTCGGAGCAGGTGGCGCTGCGCTCCTATGCCAAGGACCTCGCCCGCTGGATCGAACTGGCCTTGCGTGACGGCGCTGTGCTTCTGGCAGGACTTCCGCTGCAGAATGTGAAGACCTACCAGCCAGCCTGCTTCAACTTCGCCGATTGCAAAGCGATCCAGCCACTGTTTCGTGCAGCGTTGCCCTCCCTCCTGCGTGGAGTCTGTGCCTTGTGTGCAGATGTTCCGCAGGGATCGAGGTCTTCTCCGACGGCATCACCATCTTGGGTCCTGAGCAAGGAGCTGACATCGCTGGCCCTGGGCATTGTGGTGACGCTGATGGCGGCATCGGACTTGGAAGAGCCCATCGCTGACCTTCGGGTGTTTGTGCGGACCATCCGCCACATCCTTGCCATATCAGCTGCTTAGCTGTTCTTGCGCACGAATCTCCGATTCTAGCCTGGTCTGGTCTGTAGAATGAACAGGAGATTTTGCTGTAAAACAGCTTAGGCCAATGGTACCGCCCAGGAGACTCTGGTGAACCTAGCGACCTTCTTGGACGTAATGGGATGCATGTGGAGGTACATCTTCCTCGATTCCTCAAAGTGTCGCCCTCTTCTGCTCGACCTCCTGGAGTTGATCCATGTCGTTTCAGGAGCACTCTGGGACCGGAGGCAGAGCTCTCAGACTAAGACGAAGGACTCCGAATCGGATCCTTCTTGGCTCGATGCCCTCTCTGCCGAGTCTGCAGAAGCTGCAGAGGCAAGGGCCACCCTTGGCGCCTACGCCTTTCATATCGTCTCCGCATCCATGAACTCCGGCGAAGTTATGTCGAGCCAGCTCCCGATGGCCTTGGAGGTTCTACATTGGTGGCTCCGTGATGCGCTTCCCAGGAGCCTCGAGGAAGACCTGAATGAGCTCGCTGAGGCTGAGGACGACCTGATGGTCGCGGCGCTGGCCGAGACGTCTCCGGAGGACGGCACTACTCTGGCAGTGAAGGGCACCGAACCGGCCGGCACCGGCACTAGTCCTTGGCTTTGGCTGCTCTTCTTCTCGCCATTCCCGGAGCGCTTAGTCCAGCATGATCCCGCCACGACCCTGAAGTACTGGAAGCAGGTTTGCGGGCTGCTGGCTGCACTTCCCGAGTCGCCTTCTCCTCAGCGGGCCCACGAGCAGCTCTTCTACCTTGCCATGATCTCCTGCAAGATGGCGAGTTCCCTGATTGAGAAGCTAAAGACAAACCTCAAGCCGCTCGAAGAAGCCGAAGAGAGGAACCTGGTGTATGCCTTTGCCACCTTTGTTCCAGCCGTGACGGCGATGGCATCAGTGCTGCAGTGCTGCAGAGAGTTGCCCGAAGATGAGTCAGCCAAAGGGGATGAGCCCCTGGCCACAAGTGGCACGGTTCGGGAGCGTGCAGAGGCCACCGTGCAGAGATGCCTGTTGCTGCTGAAGACCCTTTTTGATATTGGGTGGTCCCATCCCAGTGTGAAGGTGGCGCAAGCTGCCATCTCCTCTGCACAGAATCTGCTGCAGAACTCTGCCTGCACCGGCTTGTGCATGATCATCGTGCCTGGGCTCGTCTCAGCCATGGCTTCGCCACACTTCCCACCGGCGGTGGCAGAAACTGCATGGGCTGCTCTCCCAGCGATGCTCTCCGCACAACATCAGGCCAAGATCCAGGAGCTCGTTCGAGCGACGACACAGCTGATCCTGCAGCTGGTCAGTGCCGTCGCCGGCTACGCGAAGCTGCCGCCGGGAGCTCCCGCCACCGCTGCCATGGCAAGATGCTTGATGCAGGTCGCACAGATTGACCAGGCCGTGCTGAAGACAGAAGTTGGGGCGCTTCCCGCGGAAACTGGGCTCCTCTTACAGTGTAAGCATTTCAAGCTACCATCACACCACACTCAGGAGGCCCCCTAGTGTTTTCTACATGTCCTGGTCCTAGTAATTCGTTGCTTAAGTTGAGAGCCAAGGAAAGCCAGCGTACGGTGCAGGACCTCATGAGAGCGCACATGACAGCCGGCCGTGCAGACTCTGCCCAGGCCGGAGGCGTCTCGCGCACGCCCCTGGCAGAGAAGAAGATCGAACTGAAGCTCAAGTTCTGAGAGGGCCTGGGACGGTGTAGGGTTTGGGGTTCGGGGTGTAGGGGTCTAAGGTTAAGGCGGTTTAGGATCTAGGGGCTTAGGTTACAAGGTTCAGGTCCTAGCATCTCAGAGCATGAAGAGATCACTTTGGGGCAAGGTCCATAGATTGTACAGCCAGGCTCAAAGAGCAGATAGCCCCTTCGCTTTCACAAAAGGCAAAGATCTTTGCAGGCAGCAGCTTTGCAAAATCTGGCGCGAAGTGTGCCTGCGAGGCCTAATCTTCGAGCACCACGGGATGCCTTCGCCGTGTCTGGTACGTTTTCGGGTGATTCAGGTGTGCAAAACTGGTTCCGAGTCAAAAGGCGGTCCAAAGCGGAATTGCTTTACGCCATTGTTTGGGCAGGTCGGAGTGCCGGGATCCATAATCTTACCTTTGGTTAGTAGGGAATGGAGGAATGGGGTACAATTATAAGTACTATTACTACCATTCTTCCATTCCCTACTAACCAAAGCTAACTAATGACTTGTTGTGTTGTTTTTTACTCCTGAGACCTCTTCTTGCCCGGATATCTAGGGGCCAAGAAACCCCAAGTTGCTCCTAGTAATAGTAGTCGAGAAGGTAACCTTTAACCTTTCTGGAGTAGTATAGTCCCTCTAAGATCCATATATAACCAAAAAGGGTCAACCTTGAGTTCCCCATGATACCCGACAAGTAGGTGCTGCCTCGAGAGCGCTGCAAGGTGCTTGCGCCGGAGTGCTTGCTGACCTTTCCTGGGCTCAGGGCCTGGACCGCTGTTTCGGGCTGTTTATCCCTACCTTATTGGGCTTCATTATAAGGGGGTTTATGTGGGATATCACTATCCTAATTCTTGCTTATGTGCTTTTTGGGCCGTTGAGGTTTGCAGTTTCAGGAGACACAAACAGGCCGAGTCTTCGGCCCGGGAAGGAAGCCCTCCACCCTAAACCCTGTGCCCTCAGCCCGTTTCCTTAGTATAGGGGCCTAATGGTGTAATGGGGCCACCAAAACCGAGGGATATAGTAGCTGAGTGGATGCACTTTTCACTTTTTGGGATAATGCTGCCCACTATAAAACTGAAAGTGTACACTTATTGGGGGCCTTATGCACTCAGAACGAAGATTACATCCAACAACAACCTGCGAGGATGCCGCGACCCAGAGTCGTCTGGTCCTCTCCCTGCGCTCCCTGCTGGAGCCCCTGGCGGCCGACCGTCTCCGCGTTCCCTGGCGGCTTCCGCAGTTTAGGTGGGTTTAGGTTTTGGGGTCTAGGGTCTAGTGTCTAGGGTTTAGGGTATAGGGTTTCTGGCAAAGGGTTTAGGTTTAGGGTTTACCTTTTCAGTCAGGTCTCTCAGTCGCATGCTCAGAAGCTAGGGGCACTGTCACGAGCACAGTCCTAACTGGCGGAAGAGCGGCAAACTACCAGGCGTCCTTGCAAGCAAGCCTGCAGCAAAAAGGGTTTACGGTATAGGGTTTAGGGTATAGGGCTTGGGTCGTAGACTGGCTAGACTTGAGTCCAACGGGCAAAATGGTATAGGGTTTGGGGGGTTTTAGGGTTTTGGGTTCAGGGTAAAGGTGCTGAAACAAAGGAGCAGAGGTCCCTTCTTGGATCCCATTAATGCTTGCCATGGCACACTGCGAAGGCTCAACTCCGAATCGTTTTCCGCGACTGCAACGTTGATCTGAGGTGCTAGCAATGCATGCCTGCTTAGTCGTGCTTTGCACTAACCCTGTACTGCTGACATGCGGATGCTGCGCGGCCACGCTGGCCAACATTCAACTGCTTGTGCCATCTAGGCTTCAGCATGCACGAAACAAGTGCCTCATGATCACATGCGTCCGTGGACATGCCTGACTGCGAGGGTTTCAGCACTCCTCCTTGGTCATCTCTTACTTCGAAGAGAATGACCACATCTTTTCAAATACAAGTCAGGCATCTTAGTACATTGACTGTCCACTATGATTCTGGCACAAATTACAGAACATCAGCTTTCTTGGCTTGTGAACATTGCGCAATCCCCAACAGTTGCATACTGTGTGGAAGTGGTCCCCGTTTCCAGAAACATAGACTGGACCTGGATGCCATTGAGGAACCAATATTTCTCTAACACCAACGGGAGCCGGTGGTGGCGGTAGCGGGTCGGTTTGGGTTCCAGTCTCGATACTCATCCGTCTCGTCGTTCTCCGTCCACGACCAATCGTGGATGACGAAGACGAACTCACACTGGTGGATGCGGTAGGCCTCGATCCACCCAAAGGCTCTGTAGGGAGCTCGATTTCAGCCATCTGAGCTGCTAACTCCCGCTGTACTCGTACTGTTTCTTGTAGGTGACGCAAACGCCGCCCTGAACGAGAACTTTCTGGATTCCCACAACATTTGTACCAACACCACCACACCGCTTCCCATAGAGCAACCAGTGCAATCCCCGCAATCAAGACCACTGCATAGAGCTCAAAGGAAGTATCAAGCTGCAACGGTTCCATAGAGCAAGCCCGGGTGGTTTGAACCATCATGCAGAAAAGCATAGCTTTCATCATGGCTACCTTGGCAACCTCGTGGATCAAATCAACAAATCCCCACAACGTCACCAGGTCCTGCAAGCGCTGCCGAGGAAAGCTCTTGGTAAGCAGGTCTGCCTTTTGGTCCTTTCCAGGTATGAACCTGATGCAAACTTGATCGCTTTCAATCTGTTCATGCACATACGCAGCTCGAACTCGCAAATGCATCGTCCTCCAAGACACATTAGATGAAGGAGTAGCCAATGCGATCGCCGCCTGATTGTCCACTCCCAGCACGATCTTGTCTAGAGAGGGATCTAGCTGGCGGAGAACTGCTTGCAAAGATTTCGCCATGGTAAGGGCTTCTATCGATGCCACCAATTCGCATTCTGCTGTAGAAAGGCAAACAAATGGTTGCCGGGCCGCGCGCCAACTGATCGGGGCGCTCATCCATGTAAGCAAAATGCCGGAATGGCTCCTACCCCCTTCCGGGGCGAAGCTGCTGTCTGAGAACGCGACAAACTCCGTTCCTTGTGGCCTCAAAGTCAAAGTCAGCCCTTTTGACCTCTGAAGGTACGACAACAACCTCCGACCAATCTGTAGGCAACGTGGAGCAGCTCGTGTGAGAAGACTTCCCATAGCACTGACAACAAAGCTCAAGTCTGGTCGCGAACGCTGCGCCAGCCAAAGAAGCTCGCCACACAGGCGTTGAGCCTGCTTAACTTGATCTTCAGTGCCCTTGTCCTCATTTTCGAAGGCTTCAAACGTCACCATCTCCCGTGGAGCCTGGATAGGAGACTGCTCAGTGGGCGATACATTGTGACTTCTGAGGATCTCCTCGATGTAGGGCCGCTGGTGGATGTAAATCGTGTCCATCTCTTCATTGGTGCCGATCTCACATCCAAGAAACCGTATATCACGACCCGGAGCTAAAACCTCAAGCTCTGAAGTCTTCCACATTTTTGCAACACCCTCTGCAACCGCTGTCACCAAGCTCAACGGACCTGACAAGAGGATATCATCCACATACAGCAGAATCGTGCCGCCGGGCTCCCCATTGAACGGCTTGCCGACCTCGTAGATCGTCCATAGATTGGTTTCTGCAGTGCCCCGCTTCATAGCCCATACACAGCCCTCAGCGTTGACTTCAAGTTTCTCCAACAAGCCATCTCGGTAGCCTGCCCAAAGCTTAGGGGATTGTCGAAGACCGTACATTCCATGAGTCAAACGCCACCGTTCATTAGGCTGGGCTAAGCCCAGCTGCACCAACGCAGCTGGAGGTCGCACAATGTAGATAACTTGACCATGGCCTTGCGGAAGCGGGGTCAACATGAACGCTCCAGTAACGTCCACAATCCCGGACCGCCACTTTCGGCGAGCACTGTAGGTGAGGTTCGACCGTAGGCTCTCGGCAGCGGCGCCTGAAGCAAACACGTCGGCTTGGTCATCAGGTGCGTAGTTACCGCGGCACACCACTCTAGCTTTCCTTTGCAAAAGGCGGCTTCACCATCAGCAGGGGCATCACTTGGAGGTGGTTTCACGGTGTACACAAGCTTGGACGGCAACTCCTGGATCACATAGCCCTCCGCACGAAGCTTTGCAACCTCACTATCAGTGACCCGAGCGAACCCTTTCTCCACAACACCTACTTCTTTCGTAATGGCAGGTCGCCACTTTTCAATCACTCCTCGTGCTTCTTGAGGGCTTACATTGTAGGTGTGTCTGATAGGGATCTTATCATTCACGGCCTTCTTGATAATCTCTTCCACGTTCTCCACATACTCTGGCTCCAACTTCGCCAGCCTTGGTTGATCATACAGACCCAACGAAGCCCAGTGCTCAACATTCTGAGCAAGGTCTTCTCTCAAACCCACATCGATCTCCTCCTCATCTAGGGCATTCTGGGCAACAGTAAGAGATTGTAGCGCAGGTCCCGGGTCATCAGAAGCACACAACTTTCTCAGGCACCTTTCTTTTTCATCTTCACCCGAAAAACATTCTGTGTACAACGCCCAATCCCAAAACGTAGCTTCACAATCTCCAACGGTGACAACCTCCACCTCATCATCATGCCCATGAGCTCCACAACACGGCACCTCTGATGGCAAGGAAGTTGCTCTTAGCATAGGTCTGGTTTCCCACGCTCCGTTGGCGGACTGAACCACAACTTCTGGATCACACACCGGAAAGTTCAATCCCATCAAATAGTCCTGATCTTGCCTCTGCAACTTGTATGCACCTTGAGGGGTATAGGCGGACAAGAACCACTTCAAGCCGCTCTCATTGACATACCCATGATGAACCATTGGATCAAACACCGCTGGCTTCTCTTTCACGCTGACCAAGCAACCATCATACAGTTGGCCATCACGTCCTTCACACTGATGATCCTGGGGGTTTGTGCCCCCAACCACCATTCGTTCATCACCTCGATCTTGCACCCATAGACCCTCCACTGAGTCCGTGTTCAACTCCATCACGTAGTTGTAGGTGCCCTTCTCATTATGACTGTCCTTGTGACGAGGTATCTCCTTGGCAGCTTGTAGGGCAAAGGTGGTCCACGAACATTGCATCCCCGGCCAATACTTTTGTATCTTGAACTTCAGATAGGCATTGAAGTAGCGAGCCATCCAAGGAAGGTCACGACCATAACGGGTGATGCCAAAGGAGCACAATCATGCCCTCTCCGCCAGGAGATCGAGGAACCTTCACATTCCCACAAGTGCCAGCTACCAAAGCCAACAAACGAGCACAACTCGGTTCATCAAACTTCTCCTCATTGTACAGCTGCTCAGCTACAGCTTCCACATATTGAACTTCCCCCGCTCGAAGATACTTGACTTGAGGAAGCCCACCGAAATCTCCATTGAGGTCCACAGTCACTTCATCCATGTCTTCGACATCAGGATAAAACCCATCCACCTTAGAAGCCATAGGCGCCTTGGATCGCATTCTCCTTGGTGGTGCCCCCGCAGGAGGAGGCAAAGGTGGTTCACCACTCCCATCTTCATGTGGCTCAGGTTCAACAATGATGGTAGGCGTCACTTCCTCCAAAGACGGAGGGTCGCGTGCCACTCGCACATGGGTGGTTTGAATAAATGTTCCCGTGGCCTTCAAGATCACATGTCCACCCCTGATGTCCGACGACGGGCCCACATAGCGACCTTGAGTCCAGTGAGGTCCAAAGTCCTCAACGGCACCCGTCTTGTAGCGCTTGGTCGTCACATACACTTTGGCCCCATAAGCCACTGGCATAGGTGCGAGAACTCCAAGTTGATCACACCTCTGCTGCGCAGCCGCATACTGCACCGCCGTAGGCCAGTTCTCCCGCGTCACGCCGGAGCTGTCCAGAAGAATCCGAGCCCTTCGTTTGAGATAGCGCACTCCAGCTTCTGCAACACCGTCGGCTGAATCTGACCCCGAAGTCGTTGTAGGCCATATCCCCTGAGACAGAGCCCACCTCCGAACCAAGTGGCCCCGAAACTCGCCACCTCTGTCAGAATGTAGCCTCGTAACTGGATATCCAAGCGCCTTCACCTCAGTGATGATCTTCTGAACCGCGGGCAACATCGTAGCGGCCTTCTTGTTGTTCACCGGAACCGCAAAGTACAGCGTGGTAGTCGGGATAGGCTCCTTGAAGGTCTTTTTCAAATCCTCCCAGGCTTTCTTCTCCTTCTCTTCTTCATCGGGACCAACACCCAAGATGTCACCAACACCACCACC